CAGCTTTTTCACATTTCCAACGCACGCCTGGCGAAAATTTTAACAACCGCATGAGATTTTCCGCCGTCAACCTTTATTGTTGCTCTCTCACGGATTTTTGCGGATTTTCAACCCATAAACATCTTTTTCATTTTCACTTAAAAAAAACCATGTTCATCCTTTGGGAACTCAAATTAGTTCACAACGAGAATTTATTAATTGAATCATAATTTAATGGCCCCGTAGCGAGACAAGCTCGCATTTTTGTTCATAAAAAAATATGGACAACTTGTCTGGAAAAAATCATAATAAAATTTACTCGAGTAACAAACATACTATTATTTTTAAATTATTGGCATTTTCAGCATTGTAAAATATGTGCTGCCAGCTTTAATTAATCGTATTGCTTATAAAAAAAGACTGCAACAAAATGTTGGTAAATTAATAAAACGTTACAATTAAATGTAATTCATTGCCGGGTGATAGAACAATATCATACGCCTTAAAAAAAAACAAAAAAGGCTTAATTCAATTGATATATTTGTGTAACAGCTACATAAACTAAAAAAACAACTGAAAAATTCTGGAAATAATTTAAAGTGAACTAAGAACATCTTAAATGGCTTTAATGAGAACGACAAATGAGTGATATTAGTTCGAAATTGGAATCACAAGATGGATTTTCGTCAACAGAGGACATTGGAAATAATGTGAAAGGCACTCGAAAAAAGTTGATTTCCATTTAAATTCTTTGAAGTGCCCGGACATGTGGGACTAATTGCATTCACAGCTCATCTCTGAAACTCAGACACAAACCGGCTTAGATGTGTCTGCATGCCATGTGAGAAATGCCAGATTATTAACAAATTCGTATGCCCGACCCCATCCATTTCGCCTGTCAATTTGTCGCATCAGCAAATAAAGAGGCTGGCAGAAAAATATATACATACATACGGCGAACCCGAAGGAGCATACTGGGTACAAGGAAAAGCCAGAGACGAGTGTCAATACAATTTTCAGGGCAATTCGAAGTTGAAAAGTCAGCCAGGGAAATGCAGACGACTTGCGATGTGGGTGCCTTCTGGCTGGCTGAGTGTCAGCTCAGAAGGCGAGCAGCTCGACAGCTAAGCTCCGCTTGCCAGGCAATTTTCTCCAAGCGCTGACAGGGATACAGATATGGCAATTGCTGAAATTATTTCCCAGGCGAACTTTTGATGTGTTTCGGGCAGAAATGTTTGTTAACTGCCGAATCAATCTACGCCAATCGATGCTGGGCAAAAACGCATCGTTGGCCTATTAAAAACCAATTTAATTTACTGGGTGCGAGGGGGGTTAGGAAGTGGGTAGCTCAAATACACTGAGAAAACAAATATTCCAAAAAAAAATATAAATACTTTAGACAGTTTCGTTTTCATAAAACATTATTAAAAAAATTATAACAATTTCGGTCAACTACTTCATTTGATTTAAATAGCGATGTCATCAAAGTATTTCATTAAGGCAGCATTTAAAATTTTCAAAATAATTAGAAATATTTTGTATGTTACAATTTAATTCTTCCATAAAATGCTATACAAACTGGTTATTTAAGACATTAAAACCACAAATTTTTAAGGTATTTTTTATCTTAATAAAAAAATTTGGAACAGAACAAGTTTCTCCAAAATTTCTCTCTGTGCATTTTCAGCAACCACGAAATTTGATCAGAGATAAATTCCAATTATTAAAATCGAATTTGCACAGAAAGTCAGCACATGCAACATGCAAGGGGCGTGGCCTGGGGGGCGGGAGTCGGATTGTGTTGCATTTTGGAAGCCATTGAAACATTTTATCAAATTCTAATTATGCAAAACGGAGGGGAAAAAAGCAATTAAACCGAATGTCCCCAAATTCTCGTATGCAACTAACTATAAAATGGGCAAATTATCAGATCTCCAAAGCGCATCGAATGTGGGGGCGTGGCAAAAACACACATTGTTCGACGAGAGGAACTATATTTGTTCGTGTTTCGACTTTCTTGATACGTTTTCCAATTAATTCCGCTGTCCAGTGCTAGTAAACGCTATTCAGCCAACAAATTTGCCATGAAATTACATTTTTTCTGCTTCATAAAAATTGTCAAACATACAAATCAACGATATCCAAAGCTTTTGGGAAGGGGATTATATACATAAATGTAATACCCGGTTAACGCATCATAAAATTGCGCTTTGAACAATCGAATTGCCGGTGCTCAAATTGACCCGATAGTGCGAGAAAAATAAAAATCCTTTCAACAGGGAAAACAAAAACAGGATGTGTTCACAATGGCGATAGCATAAAGTATAAACTGTAAATAAATAAATTTGATTGCAAGGCGACTGGAGTTGTGCTTTTGTTTTACAATTTGTGTATCATAGGCGCATCCATTGACAATTGACAGCAAAATAAATGGCGAAAACAGAAGAAAAATAAATAACAAATGTCAAAAAATATGTTGAAAATTTATAATTTAAGGCAAAAAGTGATATGAAATGGGAATAAAACGAAATTCAAATTTATTTCAATTTATTTTTTATGTTAATACCTACTATTTATATTTAATTTTGCAATATTTTAAAAGGTAATTAGTGATAGTTACAATAAGAATAATTTTAAAAAATACTTAATTTTGAAAAAAATTGCTTTATGGATTTTAAAAATACTCTCATAAATCCCATAAAATTAATACAAAAATCAAAATAAAAATCCTTTGCATACTCTCGGGCGCCAATCAAAATAATTTCTTATTAGTTTTTCCGTTTAAAATACGTAATATATTTGCAAATTAATATTCCCTCATATGCGTATAAATAATAAAAAGGAGTAATAACCAAGTGTGTAAAAACAAATATAAATAATGCATAAATACAATGGCGAGCAGACAGCGGAAAATAAAGACACGTCCCATTAAGTTAAATGCTTGTTCTCCCGTCTCTTTTTTATCCACTCAGGCTCTCTCTTTCTTTGGTTATTTTTGAAGCTTTGGCACTTTGTCATGAAATATGCATGCGCCATATTTACACGAAAACCATTAATTTTGCAATTTTACTGGTTGTTCTTGGATATAAACCGAAAATAAATGTATTAATATTCGCTTTTTGGAAGCTAAACGGTGTGAAATTGAAAAATGATTTGCCGTAAATATTAAATGTAGTCCTACATTTGGTTGTTAAACTAAGTACTTAAAGCAACAAGAAGCTAAAAAAAAATATTAGAAAAACAAGCCTGTAGGGAAGTATAAATAACTCTTATTTTATATGCCCATTGAACACATCAAAGTCACAAAATGCCAAATATTTCCATAATTAATCAAATTGATTTACGCATATCCCTCCCACATCCAACATTTCCTGACCCTGTTCTGATTCCCAAACATTTTATTGCCCTTTTTCGCTGAGCCCCATAAATCAAGTGGAAAAGCTGCAACTGCAACCAGTTCCTGTTTAGAGGAAAAAGCTCAAGAGCGGCACAGCGGGTAATTATTCAATTATTTCCGATCGCTAATTAGCCGGACAACTGGAGCCACAACGATTATTATTTCTTCTTTTGACATTAACGCACGCAAAAAAAAGGGAATACAATGAAATCAATTAGCCGAGCCAGCGAACAAAATAGAAAATAATCTGACCATGAGTACGACGCTGATTATTGTGATGGATATTTTATGTGACACCACTGACCGGCCGAATGACCCCATTGCATCGGCTGACATTTCTGATGCTGCTTTGTTTCCGTTTCCGCTGGGACTATTCTGACATCTGCGCTCCGGCCTCGCAACCCACAAACCATCCGCAATGCCACCCACTTGAAATTCAATTTTCCGACGTTTTTATGATAATTTATATATCAATATACACACGAACAACGAAATTACATTTTGGCTCATTAATTTATGCACAAGAGTCGCGGAGCCGACTGAATTGATTTGTGTTCGCATTCAATTTAAAATTGAAATCACCAAACATTACACCAAATTGTCACGGTATTTTGTAAGAATTTATATTTGCACTGCATGCGAGCCGATTGTAGAAACTGAACTGAAGCACAGGGAATCTTTTGCCGGAGCTACAAAGCCATTTCATTACCATATGCCAATTATGATTCCCCAACATTATGCCTTTGGATACACTTGAGTAGTTTCCGACTGCAAAGTAACCTACCCAAAGATAATGTTTGTGCCTATGTGAAAGCGATCAATCGGAACGATTCCAAACTGTATGATAAATGGCAACTTTAAGCATGAACATAGGGTACCACAATAAGCGGAAAGTTTGGGTAATTTATGTAACCTACAATCGTATATAGGTAAATATGTTCAAATAAATATTTACATCGATTACACCTACTTACTGAAATCTATATATGGAATAGTGAGTACTTTATTCAATAAACTGGAGCAGGACGTCTGTCATATACATTTATGTTTTAGTATCCAAGTTTTAATAATTAGTACATTTTATTATAAAGCAAAAAATATCTAAAAAAAAATTTTAAAATAATTTTGTACTATTTAGATAGTGTAGCTCTAGAGCATATGTACGTCATAAAAACATGACGCACTTTCTAAAAATCATCTTGAAAATATTTTTGAGTCGTAGGGCTCAGCTCAACACTTGTAAACATATACAAGATATGATCTACAACATAGGGACTAATGACTAAAAACTTCCATAGCTCATGCGATCAGATCATGTTGTGCTTTGATAAAAAAAAAAAAACTGGAATAGGGCCTAGAATGGCTTATTCCTAGAAACATAGTGGAATGATTTTGTTAAATATTTATAATTACATTTATAATTATTTCATTAGAACAGCCCACAATATCAGTCGAATTATAACACTAAACTCATTAACTCGTATCTTGTTATATAATTTCTATTAAGATTCTTATAAGCTATACTTCTAATTTTAAAATAAATATTAGTTAAAACAGATAAAATTATTCTACTATCCTTACAGTTTTATCACAAGTTCATATGAAATAGTTTCATTCTTATCATTCAAACCTTTGGGCTCAAAACTTTAGGCTTAATCATCATTTCAACAAAGGTGAGCGATTCGTCCCAGTTGTTGTCATGCCAAGAACCCCAAGTAATTCCATTTCCTTTAGAGCCCGCATCGTACCCCTCTTTATAGTATTTTCCATTTAGAGAGCTGCAATATTTAGTTATTAGACTGACATATTTGAACGTTTACCACGTTGCTTACCTTTGACTACAATTGAGGTACCACCAACCACCTACTTCTGGCGAAGCGCAATTACCAGTTTCAGATTTGTCATTATCCCTGTCAAAAGTGGTAAACATTTCGTTCACATGATATTGTAGGGAGTCTCCAGCTGTTCCGAAGTATTTCCCCAGCGATTTTAGGGCATACGACTCTTCCTCGCTGCCAAGTTTGAAATCCTTGTAATAAGCGTAGCTTGTGGTTCCATCAACTTTTCCAAGCTTGATATACAGTTCGTGGGGCCGTTTTTGAGTCATTACGTGAATTTTCTCCAGCCCAATAAAAAATTCGCCATTTAAATCGCCGAATCCATCTTTGTAATCCTTCCAAGGTCGATCAAAATTTTCGGAGCCGTCAAAACGTTTTTGAATGGTCTTCCATCCCATTTCAGATATTTCTTCAGAAAGCAAATTGCTTCGCCTTTCAGCTTTTATTAAGCGACTTTCCAAGCCCATAAGAAAGTGTTTTTTATGTACAATATTAGAGATTGAGGTGATGAGCATCCCTATACAATTTTCGTCACAATCTAATTTTATCACTGTTGAAACTGGGTTTGCACTGGTAAGAAGTAAAACCTCTAAACACAAAAACGGCAGAGAAATCTTAAGGATTAACGATTTCATTTTTATAACTGGGAGTTACGTTCGACGCGGACGCTGAATTAAATTTAAAGCAACATTCTAAAATGCGGTTTATATAGGCAGTTTTTACTTGAAACTAGAGCACATTTATCCTAAAATGTATTAAACTTATTATCGCTTAGCGCTAAAAAACCACCACATCATATTTGTATGACTAGTTTAATTCAGCAAAATACGTATTACTTTTGTTTTTTGATACATTTCTTAATATATAATTTATTTTGTTTATTTTAAATCATTCATAAATTAACAATCCAGTTTTTAAAAATGTTACATACATTTGAAAAGGAAGTGACACAGAAAAACCTTCGGTGGCATTGCTAGTGGAATTTGTATCCGAATTTTGCCGAAGAGATTTCCCAAGTCATTCGCTTAAACTTGGTCATCTAAAAAATAAATCCTATTCAAATTTTATGGTTTTTTTATCCATAAGACTTATAATATAATAATATGTAATATTATAATTTATAATATTACAATATATAATGATAGTATCCGAATTTTTCCGAAGGGATTTCCCAAGTCATTCGCTAAAACTTGGTCATCTAAAAAAAAAATCTTGTTCAAATTGTATGTATTTTTATCCATAAGACTTATAATATAATAATATGTAAATTATAATATACAAGGGTGGTCAAAAGTATTTTCACAAAAAAGAAGTTAAATATATTCATAATTTGAACTTACATCTTGTTAACTTTGGCATCAATGGAAAGGTAATTTAAATGCCGTTTGAATGATACAATACATTTCTTAACACATTCAGTACTTATTGAAAAGGACGAATTAGTGTGAAAATGTCCTTTTTGAACTTTTTTCCTCGAGTTGAAAACTTAAATTTTTTGATGCAAAAAGTTTCTTCAAACAAAAATAATAGTAACTGCAAACCGGTGGTATTACAAGTGTAACTTGTATCCTAATATTGCCGAAGAGATTTCCCTCGGTCATCTAAAAAATAGATCTTAGTCAAATGTGTTGTATTTTTTATCCATAAGATTTATAATATAATAATATGTAAATTATAATATATAATATTACAATATATAATGATAGTATTAAAAACTAGATGATGAACTTAATTGCGTATCGATTAATTAGGTGTCCACTATTTCAAATTGCCTATGATTGGGTCCTGTTTTGCGGATTTAAATTTTCCATTTATCTTTTCAAAAAGGTTGCGAACTTCCCCCTTTTTTCTCCTATTTGTTATATTATCCATTCTCGTTCTTCTTCACTTTTATCAAGCTCAGAAGTGCAATATTTTTGAATCAAGGCGCCATGTGTTCTTCCTCTTCATGAACATGAGTCATAATTTTCCTGAGCTGGTAACACCAACATCGTCTTTCTCTTCGACCCCCATTCGGCATAGCAACTATGCTTTTTTCTCAACAACTGACGGCTTTTTGTTCGCCGTACCGCTTTAGTTAATTAGTAAAATGAATTTCCATTCCAACGAGGTGCTGTGCATGTTGGTACAACGTCTGTGAAAGTCAAATTTACTAAAAATAGAGATAGCGTCGAAACATAATTTTATCCCACATGGTTAGTGTCCTGAATACATTTTTTACATAGTGGTTCCTGTCTTGGAACTTTCTGCTTCAAATTTGTATGGGGAAAATCCGAGGTGCATTCACTGTTAAGCGATTTTCTCAAAAACTGACGGCTTTAGCTCAAAGATACTTTCTGACATGAAGCTTGAATTAACGCCCAATAACCAGGTTTACCCTGCATATTGGTACAACCTCTGTGAAGGGACCAATAAACAAAATTGTGGGGACCCGATTTTTTAAATCGATTTTTAATAGATTTCTAGAAGTCGGATATGGTTGCAAACTATCTAGATCGATAGATATTTTCATTCTAAACAATTCTGTACTTAATATTTTTCGGTTCGACCCCAAGAGGTCGAGAAAATCAAAAAATAAAAGTTGGCCCAATGCATTTTTTCGGTGTGGCAACGCCTAATTCTTTAAATTTCAGAGAAATTTTAAAGTTATATCGTTATTTTAAATTATATCGTATCGTAAAAAAAATACGATAAGAGTAAAAATGATGTATAATCTACATACATTTTACAGTCGTATTTTGTTAGCGACATCTAGTGTTTATCGACAGTACCTGAAACTGTTCGTTTCTTATCGATTAGAATCTCATAAAGTGCCATCACTAGAACAGCTGTTAAAATCCAGAAATGTTTTGATTGTTTTTGAACTGAATAAAGTGACTAAAATTTTAAAGATGAACTACCCTAAGCGAAAACCACTTTCATGGTCGCAATACTACGAAGAATTACTTTTTGACCTGTGGGAAGAAAATATTGCGTCTATTCGAGCTGGTCAAAAAAGCACTATTGTATGCAAGGCGATGGCGGAAAAACTCGACGAGGCCGGATTTATAGGCGTTGAAATGAAGGATGTGCGCACCAAACTAGACAACATAACCCGCAAATACAAGTAATAAGCATTTAATGACTATCTTAATTTAATTCGTCATAATAACATTACTCAAAACAGAATAGAAGCCAGGGAGGGGAACTCGAAATGGAAACACTTTTCCAGAATTCGTCGAATTTTGGGAGTATTGAAACCAGCTAAAGTCAAATATGATCATTTAATGGAACAAAGCACAGGTATTTTTTTTTAATGCCTCACAATCAAAACGCAATTAAAAAATCCCTAAATTGCAGATGACAATGGAAAAAAGGAGCCCCTCTCAGTAAAAAGCGAGAGCTTAGGTGATGATTTGGATCAGCCGGAAATCTTAAGTGACGAGGATGGTAATTCCTGGGATCGCACATTGGAAATGCTGTCGAATCCAGGAAGCCTATGTGATGACTTGCCCTACTCGCCACAATGTAAGAAGGCAAAACTTTCCCAGGATGATATGACATCCTTTGAGGCAGGAATGCTAGCAGCCACAAAAGAACGCAATAAAGAACTTAAGCTTATGAGGAAGGAGTTGACCAACCTTGCCAGTCGACGGCTGATCGCCTTGGAGAGGCTTCAAATGACCTTGGATCGGATGGAGAAGGAAAACGCCAAATTCCATGAGAAAATGCTGCAAAAATTGTAGCAAATTAGAATTAAACAATAAGTTTACAGTGGTGCCATATAATAGGCTAAATTAAGATTACTTTAATACTTCATTGTATAATTTCCAACACATTATTAAAGGTCTGATTTTGTTGGCCTACTCCTTTGTAACATATGTAGATGCAACATGTGTGCTTAAATTACTTTTATTATAAAGGTAACTAGCACTTCATTCATTAGCGCTATAGTAGTAAAAATAAATACCTAATGGTACATTTCAAAATAATGAAATATATTACATTATCATCTCTCTGGCTGGTTGTTAATATAATGCGAAATTACATTTCTCAGAGTTTCCGGAGCTTCCAGAAGGTCTGTTAGACTATCTTTTTCCTCTGGTTGTGAGCGGTGGTTATCATCAATTTTCCATTTCTCCATAAGATCGCTGTTTTTGCCAACTAGAAAATTGTGCAATATACAACAGGCAACAATAACGCCGGGCGCTTTGCGGCAACGATTATCAAGTCCTTTATGAATCCTAAAAAAGCGCGTTTTTAGGTGGCGAAAAGCCTTTTCAGCTAGCCTCTTTGTTTTGGAGTGAGCATCGTTATAAATAATCTCATTCTCGTTTCCAGAATTATCAAATGGGTAAGACTTCATGACGGCTGTTGAAAATCGGAAGGCGGAATCGCCAACAAGAAACGGTGGCACATCGACTCCATCGATGGTCTTTGAATTGGCCTTCAAAATATCAGTTGAAGCTATCTTTTTCTTCAGGGTGCTGGCTTCATATATCTCCGACTTGCTGCAGCGGCCCTGGCATCCTGTATTTACATAAAGGAATCTGCCCCTAGAAGTCAATTTTAGTATACATAAAGGTTGCTAGACATATGTTCGATGTAAATTTTTTTACCTGTGATCCACCAGAGCAATGAGTATAGTAGAGTACCAGCCCTTAATGTTACAATAATCCTCGGCATCGGAGACAGGAGGACGTATCTCTATATGTGTTCCATCTGCGAGAATGGTTATAAAAACTATGATAGACCTTATAGCAAGTGTTTTTACCCAATACTCCGAAACATTGAGGGAAGCCCAGTTCCTCGAAGCCCTGAATACATTCCTCCAGTTTCTCTTGGGTGAGAAATTCTTTGGGCAAGTGTTCTGGAGCAAAAACGTTGATAATCTGCCTGCAGAACTCGTTCAGGATTTTAGGTATCATCGAGGATGGGACGCCAAATAACCTGCCCACTTTACGATAATCCTTAGACGATCCCAATGTATAAAGGGCTAAAGCTATGCGTTTCTCGAATGGAATTTCGCCCGGGGATCTTTGGTTCACTCGAATGCTTTCCAAGGACTCGACTATTTCATCGAAGTGCTCCCTTTCCATGCGAAAATGGTCCTTGAAAACATCATCGGAGAATTCTGGAACATCTCGCTCCCAAAATTTGCCGTCTGGATGCTGTAATTTGTTAATGATTTAAAGATCTAGAAGGTATTGGCCTTTTTTACTTACATCTCTCTGGGTTGGCAAAAAGACGGAATCTTCCTCTATCATAGAAATCCACAATTTGGTTGATTCCTCGTCCAGCTTTTGCAACTCCAACATGTTCTGCAAAAATCTGTTGTTGTGCTCCTGCATAAGTAACACTAGGCCAATTAAATCATTTCTTTTATTTTTGTCATTATCTTTGGTTTTGTTATTATTATCTTCCATTGTTTTCGAACTCTTGTAAAATGTTTAACAAAATCGAACTCAAACCAAAATGAGCCAAAGTAGCAGCTGTTTGTCAAAAGTTATCGATAGCAGTATTCAGTGTTGAGTAGGACCCAAAATGATGTACTTAGTGAACCCTTACATTTCATAAGTACAATTTTTAAAAATGTACATTTTTAAAAACCATTTTCAATTTCTTAAAAAATTTAAACAATTTCGCCTTTATGCTTTAGCATTTTGGATACAATTGTATTTTCAAATGTTGTATAGTATACATTATGAAGCTGTTTGTTCTGTTAATACTTTTCACCATTTTAAAACATATATTTATAAATATTTATTTATTTATTATAAAGTTAAGATGAAAAATAGATTTGAAAAGTTTAGAAACTAGTAACACATTCATCATTTCAATAAATTAATACTTTTGATAAGTTAAAAAACTAATAACCCTATAGCTTTTAACAATAAAAAAAAGAATTTGAAAACCTCTGTTACCTAATTTTTAAATTCCATACAACCCCTTTATAGACGAAATTTTCAGACCTGGTAACACTGCAAAAAGTATATATATAAAACCCGGCTTAGAGATAACGAACGGAAAAAATTGTGCATTCAATTGGTCATCTGATTTCGCCCGATATGGGAGTAGACCTTGTAATTGGAGCTGCATTGTCAGCAGTTCTGGGAGCCCTGCTGATCACGGGATGCAATTCGGAGATTCCCAGGTTCAAGTACGAGATCAAGGAGTTCCAGGTGCCTCTGGATCACTTCAGTTTCCTGATCAACGCCACCTTCAACATCCGGTATTTGTACAACGACACCTTTGTGGACAAGGCCAATGCCCGCACTCCGATCTTTTTTTACACGGGAAATGAGGGGGACATCGAACTCTTTGCCCAGAATACCGGATTCCTGTGGGAACAGGCTGAGAAGCAGCGGGCTATGGTGATCTTCGCAGAGCATCGGTACTACGGGAAGTCTCTACCCTTCGGTAGTTCCACTTTCAACACCAGCATGCCGGAGCACTTGGCCTATTTTACGGTGGAACAGACCCTGGAGGATTACGCCATGCTGATCACTTTTCTGAGGAACGATCGCCAGATGCCCGTAGTGGCTTTCGGCGGCTCCTACGGCGGAATGCTGGCCGCCTGGTTCCGGATGAAGTATCCGCATTTGGTCACGGGTGCTTTGGCCGCCTCAGCTCCCATTCTGCAGTTCCCCGGGATAACCGATTGCGACATCTTTTCCAGGATTGTGACATCGGTCTTCCAGAATGCCTACAACGGAAACTGCACAGTGAACATTGGCAAGTCGTGGAAACTCTTTCAGACCCTGGGAGGGAATGATGCGGGCAAGAAGCAGATTTCGGATGCATTCCACCTCTGCACTCCGCTTAAGAGCGATGAGGATCTGAAGAAGTTCCTGGACTACATAGAAGAAGTCTACAGCAATCTCGCCATGGTGAACTATCCGTACAACAGCAGTTTCCTGGCCCCCTTGCCAGCTTATCCTGTGAGGCAGGTGTGCTTTTACCTTAAGGATTTGCATACCACCGATGCGGATTTGCTGCACGCTATGTCCAGTGCCCTGGCGGTTTATACCAACTACACAGGATCCTCTAAGTGCCTGGATATTTCGGTTAGCTCTAGTGCCGACGAGTCCGGCTGGAATATTCAGAGCTGCAACCAGATGGTGATGCCCTTCTGTTCCAACGCCACCGAAACCATGTTCCGCACATCCAGCTGGAACTTCAAGGAGGTCGCCGAAAAGTGCTACAAGAACTATCGCCTCACGCCCAAGCCCTATGACATAATTCTACGTTATGGCGGCCGAAACCTGGAGACTGTGACCAATATCATCTTCAGCAACGGTCTTCTGGATCCCTGGAGCGGTGGCGGTGTGCTGCAGTCCCCCAATGACAAGGTCTTCGTCATCATTCTACCGGAGGGGGCTCATCACCTGGATTTGCGCCATAGCGATCCGGCTGATCCACCCTCAGTACGCGATGCACGCAACAAGGAGGCAGCTATCATAGAACGGTGGATCCAAGATTTCTGAAATGAGATAGCCTTTACAAATTTTTCAAAGCTTAACTTAAAGCCGAAGTAATCAAAAATTATTGATATTATGAATACACATTTTGGAACAAATGAAAATGTATTGGAAGATTTCGAATCTATATTTTGTAACACTTTTTAAAAATATAATAAATATGAAATTTTTTAATAAATATATTTACTTTTCAATTCAACAACACGCATTTAAGTTAAAAAAGTTATTTAAGTTATTAGTGCAGAATTTCATGATTTTGTAGAATGTTTTTTATTAATTACTGATTTTAGTGGAGTTCCTGGCCGGGCCAGGTTTGAACTCAAATTGAATACGGACTAGTTTCTATATTTACTTGGATTGCCAATATAATTCATAAAAACAAATAGAAATTTTTACAATTGGATCGCATTTGACTAATCGATGGACACGCTGGATACTTCCATTGAGCTGTTATCTTCCGATGGCGGCTGTTCAGATGGATTTGCAGTGCCGCCAGATGTGCCAGGCGTCTCCTCGGTGGCCGTTGTGACAGCAGTTGCCGTTGTGGTCGTGGTTGCGGTGCTGCTGGCAGCCGGGTTTAAGCTCGTCCTGTTCGCCTGCGATCGACGCATTCCCTCGAGCAAGTTGCGACCCGGACGGAGGCTGATCGCGGAGCTACTCGAGCTACCCGCGCTAGAAGTCGCAGTCGTTGTGGTCGTCGTGGTTGCTATGGAGGTGAAAGGCACTCGGACTCGTACATCTTGCAGCTCCCACTCCATCTCATCCTCGGAACTTGTCTCCGCATTCGCCACGGCCGTTGAACTTTTAGTTTTCTTCTGCCCCTCGGCGTTGCGCTTCCAGTCGATTGTCTTCAACAAAGCCTTGGCCTCTGTTTTGCGCTGAAAGGTTGGATTATTTTAATTCATTTAATTGCTTTTCCTTCAAAGAAATGTACCCACATCATCGGAGTCCAGACACTTGTACGCATAATAGGCAGCTCTCTCATATTCTCCCTTCTTCTCGTAATAATTAGCCAGCGTGATAAAGCCTTGGTACAAACTCTGCTTATCAGTGGCCGCCCTTTCGTCCTCGCAGTACATGATGTAGCAATGGACCGCAGTCTCATGATCTCCGAGCTTCTCGTGCAGATTAGCCAGCTTGTACATGGCTATGCCCTCTATATCGCCAACATCGATGGCCTTCCAGTAACACTTCACCGCATTTTCGCACTTATCTAGCTTTTCGTACGTCTCGCCCAAGGCAACCAGCATGCGGGAGTCGTAGGGACGGAGTTGGTGTGCGATTTTAAAGTAGTACAAGCTGTAATAGTGCATCTTGATGATCTCGTAGGCCTGGCCCAGGCCATACCAGGCGCGATAGTCCCGCTTGTTGACTTCCACTGCCTTCCGATAGCTCTGTATGGCTGCATTCGTGTTCTTCAGTTCCATGAACTCGTGACCCATGAGGGTCCAGGCGGCCAGGTATTTGGGATTCAGTTTCAGGGCACGCTGGAAGTAGGAAATGGCCACCTGGTGATCACAGCGGATGCTATAGTAGTTGCCTGGAGGTAAATCAAGGAGATTATTAGATTATACAAATTGTATAGTGAAATATTACGCCTACCTATCACACAACACGTCTCGGGTCGGTACTTGTTGATGCTCACAGCTTTGTGGGCCAACTGAGCCATCTCGGTCTTCATCTCCTTGACGAACAGCAAATTGGAGTACGTGTCCACATTGTCCAGGCGGTAGGGATCGCTCTCGAGCAGTGCTTGGTACAGTTCAATCGCCTTGTCCACGTCCCGCTTGTTGTGATAGACCAGAGCCATCTGGGCAATCAAGTAGATGCTCTTGCTGAATCCCGATGCCTGCAAGTCCTCGTAGATTTTCAGTCCATCATCGTTGAGGTACAGCTCCAGGTAGGTGTGCGCCATGAAAAAGTGGCGCATCCAGTGACCGCCAAGCTGCAGACTCAGCAGTTTCTTCTTCTCCATTATGAGGGGAGAGAGTTCCAGATAGGCGCTCCACAGCATGGGCACCAGTCTGATGGCCTGTATGAGCATTTGCTCGGCGGCCTGGTTGAGATTCAGTGCTTTCAGGACAACTCCATACAAATAGATGCCATAGCCGTCCAGCCGACTCTTGCCGTACTCCATGCGCAATGTGGCCAACAGGTCGGCGAGATCCCGCATTTGATTCGGCTCGTGGAGATTGGCCTGGTCGGTGGTTGAGTCCAGTCGACGCTTTTCCCTGGCCATGTAGGTGGAGTAGAAGTGTAGGAAGCGGGGCACACTGCTCTCGCAGTTCCGGACTGCGTGTGCCGCCCGGTCGTACTCCCTCACATCGTAGTAGCTCTTGGCCAGGAAGTAGTCGCTATACTCGGCCGGCGCAATCCCTTCCAGCTGGCATTCGCTGAAAGTGCGATCCTCGTCGGGTGCTTCGTTATCTATGTGCACATCGCCCAATCCGTGGTGCATCTCAGCCAGCCACTTGGTGCTGTGTAGCAGACCCCGCTTGGAGCACTCGATGATCCCGCGGCGCAGTTCCCTTTTAACATCCGGCAGCAACACGCTGAAGAACTCCTGCATCTCGATCGGATTAAATTCGTATGGAAAAGCTATAAAAACAATTTATTTGCCGGCGCGCTTCGCCTAGTGGTGTGCAAACAAAAAAGTTGGGCAGCGATAAATGGTTATCGACAAGAGGGTGGCGGTATTCCCATTGGTGAGCAGTCACGGTATACTAAATGTGCTGGGAAACGTTAGCCACTTAGGTACAATTTTGGATACAATTTTTCAATTCATATGTACTTAATAAATTAAAGTTAACATAAGATTAGTTACTATAAGCAAATTAAAAATGAATATATGTCTTTATACCCTTTGAATATTTCCACGGAATAAATGGGCTCTTTGTTAAGCACTTACTTATCATAACAAATTTGTTTCTTCTAGATGACCAACTTTTGTTATATATATATGTTATTAAAAACAATAAGCTTCGAAATAAAAGAAGAAATAGCTGCCGTTGAAATGTACCTACCTTTAACCGTGACCCGTGACCAGTTCACAGGTACTTTTTCTTATCTTCAAACCACAATAATGCTCCCCTGGTCACACTAGCAGAAGAGTGGTAACAGAAGAGGGAAAAGGGAAAAAATAACCATAACAAACTGTGCAATAACAACAAAGATTAGGAAGAACAACATGTTTGTGGAATAAATTCCTTTGTTTAATTATTAACTGACGCTCGTGACGTCGTCTTCGAAGGGGGGAATGCGACCCCCGAAGTTCCGCACATATATGTACAGAGTTTAAAGGTCAAATCACTACTCAATGAAACTGCGCAGACAACAGAAGCGAAATTTAAATGCATAATAATACTATCATAAAGCTCTGTCAGCTGATTCACTTGTTTATGAAAAGGAGACCCCTATCTGGCTTCAATTGAGTGGCGCGATCCGATAACCTGAAGCTATAGAGGCTATATAGTCGTCACTCCTGCTTTGTTTACAACGCAACGCACATCGCACAATGAGGCTCAAATCGGGAATATTTCTGGTGCTGCTACTGACCACATTTTTGGGTCTGGGCGAATGCTTCTGGCCTTTTACCAGAAGACACAGTACAAACACTCCTCCTCCACCTCCCCCTCCGCCTCCAGAGCCCAAGCTTTCGCCTGTGATTTTCGGTAAGTATATTGATTTTTACCTACGAAGGTCAAGTGGTTTCAGTATATCATCATTATAATATTTCAGTTCCCGGAGATGGAGGCTCTCAACTGGACGCCCGACTGAACAAGTCCAACTCTCCTTATTTCGTGTGCCAGAAGACCCACGATTGGTACAATCTCTGGCTCGATCTGGAGCAGTTGGTTATTCCCATGGTCTATTGCTGGATAGATAATGTTAAGTTGTACTACGACAAGGTCACCAGGACCACTCACAACACGCCTGGTGTGGAGACAAGGATTCCTGGCTGGGGAAACCCGGAGGTCGTCGAATGGATCGATCCCACCAAGAACAGTGCCGGGGCCTACTTCAAGGACGTGGCCAATGTGCTGGTGGATCTGGGCTATGTTCGCAAGCAGAACATCCACGGAGCTCCGTACGACTTCCGCAAAGCGCCGAGTGAGTGAAATTTCTTGATTTAATTACCAAATTTGTTTGCACATATGTGTACTGTCCACGCAGCTTACCCTCCTTTACCAACTATTATCCATCTCATCTTATTCTTTAAATATCCTTTCCAGATGAGAACAAACAATTTTTCATCGATCTCAAGCAACTGGTTGAGGACACCTATGAGGCCAACAATCAGTCGGCTGTCACCTTCATTACGCACAGCATGGGTAGTTCCATGACCCTGGTATTCTTGCAGCAGCAGACCGTCCAGTGGAAGGCCAAATATGTGAAGCGATTGATCAGTTTGGCGGGAGCTTGGGCGGGCAGCTTTAAGGCGGTGAAAGTGTTTGCCATGGGCGACGATCTCGATTCGTTTGCCCTAAGCGCCAAGATCCTTAAGGAAGAGCAAATAACACACCCATCAACTGCTTGGCTCCTGCCATCTCCACTCTTTTGGAAGCCTTCCGAGGTTCTGGCCACGACCCCAAGCAGAAACTATACGATGGCACAGCTCAAGGAGTTCTTCAACGACATTGACTATATGACCGGCTGGGAAATGCGCAAGGACACGATTCGCTATAGCCAAAACTTTAGTCCACCTGATGTGGAGCTGCATTGTCTGTACGGCGATGGCATAGACACGGTGGAGCGGTAAGTAACGATGTTGTTAATAAGATTATACTTAAGTAACTCTTGTTCAATCCAACAGATTGCAGTACAAAAAGTCGGATATTGCTGGGGAAACGCCCAAGTTGATTATGGGCCTGGGCGATGGAACCGTAAATCAACGTTCTCTGCGGGCCTGCCAATATTGGTCGGGTTACAGTAGCTCGCCTGTAAACACACTGGCCCTACAAGGAGTGGATCACATGCATATCCTATCCAATCCAGACGTCCTCAAATATGTTCGCACAGTCATGCAGCAGCCATAATGTCGAGTTTCCTGTTTTAATAGGTTAAGAGTTTCTTGATTTCGAAAGCCCATGCGGTATCTGTAAAATCTAACTATACAATCAACGCCAATTCTAATGTTAAATAAATGTACCACGTTAAGTAGCACAAACCTAAATGAGGAGAAATTCCCTTTTGCATTTTCTGTAATTTCTCTTTATTGTTATCTTATTGATTTATGCTTATAAGATGAGATATCGAATCACGTGTGTCAATGTCAATGCATAACGCTTTTTATTACTCAATAGTGTTTCATTTTCCTCTTGGTTTTATTCGTTTTTATTGTTTTCCATTTTCATTTTTTCATTTAATAAATTGTTTATATGTATTTTACAAAGCGTTTACTTAGATGTATTTCTTTTTAATTATACCGAATAATTTGTTAATTATTGCACTAATATTTAATTTCATTCACTTTCCTCCCGCCTCCACTTTGCTAATTTATTGTAGTTGACATTGTTCATTACTCTTGGTATAATTTTCCATTTAAAGTATGCTCTCGCTTATGTACTCCGATATCTGGATAGATATAGAAAAAAGTGTTTGTTTTGGTTGCAATTAGGATAAAACTAAGGTTGTCGAATGATTTTAGTGTTTCGCATTTGGTTTTTTCAATAAAATCAAGAAATATATATTTACAAATTGTTTGCTCATACAAAAATCGCTGTCGTAGGCTAAATTTGTGGACATTTTCGCTAGAGATTTGTTGCTGGCTGCAGGTCATGTTTTTGGGTTTTCGCTTTTTTTGGGCTTACAAAGCATATTTAATTCGTAAATTGTTTAGGTGAGCGATTTGTGCGGGTGTTGTTTATTTACTCGTTAGCTAAATATATACATACATGTTTATATATTTAGTATATATTTGATTTTATGTTGCTGCATGTGGGTGTATGTGTGTGTGTGTTGAGGATTGGACTTAAAAAACGATTTTTTCTTTGTTTGTCAGAGTTTGATTTTTGTTTTTCTCTTTTCTGCTTTTACGGGTTTTGCCCCTTTGTTCAACAAAATTTGTGCTCTCGTTCCATAGTTGCAGTTAGGGTTTTACATATATAATGTACGGGTATTATATATATAACTATAATATGACCTATACCTTCCTTGACTCAAATCAAAGTGATTCTGAAATCGATACCCCAAAAAGTCCGCCACTTCTGCGTGTTCTGTTTCAAAGTTTTTACGTTAGTATAAAAAATCATGTTATCGAAAGTATAAAAATCGTATTTAGCCATAGTGTCTCTTCTAGATCCTGTCTCTATTTTGGTTTCATTACATTTCTCTTCATCGTTATTAAATCTTTGTTTTGTTTCGTTTTCTTAGCAAAAGCGGGTGTATCTTCTTCAAGCAGGTATTCGAATGTTACTTGGCAGGATTATTATTTTCCATAGTATATATATATTTTTGTTAAATAGTTTTATAAAAGCTTAGTGTGTCGAGTGTGTGTGTGTGTGATGTGTATGTTTTGTTTAAATGTTTTTATGTGGCTTGTCGTGTGATCTAGGCCGTTTTTCTGTTCTGTTATTTAATTAGTTGCCTCTTGTTCGGTTTTATAGCTAATATGCTCTGTTATTGTATTATCTGATGCAATATATAGAACTCACATTAGGCGACATTGACGACTTAGCGGACTAGTTATTTAATTACTGGCTGCTCAATAGGTATCTACAATGGAATCCATACGTTACCAATGGGAATGATATCAAAAATGATTATTGTTAAATACATATCTTGTAGTACTTTATTTGGTTTCTCTTTCCGGTAATTAAATTAATTAAAGCTTTTTCGTGTGTGATTACTCGTGTCGGTAATATATCCGCATATCTTCCTTTTCATGGCTAACGCATAATTGTCTGAATCGAAAACCAGTCAACAAATCAAGTGATTGTAAATGAAGTCCTATTTACAATTGAATATTTTCTACTTACTCGCTTAGTCACACTTAGTATTCATTTCAATCTGATCGTGTCGAGTTCATATCTCATCTGGGATTCATTAACTAGGCTCCTACAATGCGTTCGCTATTCAGATTTATCAATGTCGTTAATACAATTGAATTGCCATGAATATTCAATATTGCTAATAACAGTTCCCTCTGCATCGTATCGTATCGGAACGGATCGGATCAGATCTGTATTATCCCGATGCCGGAAGGAACCCTGATTGGTGCTTCGGCTGGCCGAGACTACGATTATTGCATAACAACTGGCCACAGATCTTTCCGGTTATCCTAGTTCTCTCTAGAATTTAGCTAGCTTCCCTTGGGTTTTTTGCTTACTGGCATTTGCGCTACTCATTTTAATTAGATTAAATATCTACGGCTAGGTTAAGGTAATAATTCTTTCCTCTGTGGCTCTAATTTATCCAAATCATCATCACATATCAAAAAGTTTACAAAAATTTCACTTTAGCTACTGTTTTTTTTCTTTTTCTGTCGTCGCCTCTTTGTTTTTTGTTTTTAGCGATAACATTAATGTTTATTAAATTACGTGCGCTTTGAATAAAACATACAACAATAGGTAATTTTTCTAACGCTATTAGCCCCCATAACTCCTACGTCTCGTTTGATAACAACTTATTTGTTATGTCGTTCGTTAATGATTAACATAATCAACGTGTTGATATATATATATATTTTAAATAAATTAGTTCGCTTCGCTTGTGATTTACAGACATTTGCATGTTGCTCAGCGCATTAATGACTAACATTGGTTACCATTCTTGGGCTACAATCATTTTCTTTTAGTGTACGTGTGGGCATGTAAAAGGCATTTGTTTGGTTTTCATATTCATTCCATTTCTTATGGTGCTTCTCCCTCGGATTGCAGATTTGCTATTGGAAGAACTCAGCCGAAGATCCTGAAACCAGAATGTGTCTCAGTTCATTTGTTGAGCAGCGGGAATTCGGTGAAATAAATTCAGTTTTTAGACGGTGTTCCAATTGCGTATATATATTTATTTTCCGATAAACCAAAGCGTGATCTCGAGGCTTATTCAAGTTAGTGATATATTTTGATGTATTTTACTTGCATATGTTCTCAACAAAATTGACAAATCCGAACTGATTTAAAAACTAATATTGCTCTTGGTTGTTTAAGAGTTGAATCGTTTCGTATTTGGTTTGCTTGTATAGCCAGTATCTCTTGTGCTCTAACAACAATTCCTTAAAAGCTTATTCTTCGAAACGAAAAAAGTGGGCTTAAATGATAAGTCAACAGAATATAGTGTCTAATTGATGTAACAATTGCTTTTGTTTTATATCGTTTTTGATCCGTTTCGGGGATCGTATAACCCACGCGCACGCAGATAATTTGTCAATTTGAATGCCATATATATATAGACAGACCAATCGGACTTGGTAAAGCGAGAGGAACAGGAATCTAGACTACAAAATTAAAAGTGCCGGCGTGCGCGCCTTTCATCTATGCATTTGATCTGACCACTATCAACATCATTCTCAATTACTTTATTCATCAACTTACTATACAAGCTCTCGCGTCCCCTACGTTTTCATTTAATTTTTAACAATATTTTCTTCTGTTGAAACATTTTCGAATACAACTTTAGGCCCAAGTTGAGTTCAGCTTAGGCAAATGCTTAGCAGAAAACCTGGCTAGTTCTCAAAAAGAAAGCCGAAAATGTTTTAAATTCAATTGGAATCAGTATTCGTTTGCCATCCAAGTTTTCTGCCAGACATTTAACAATCTTAAGTATTTATACAAACTTCCAAATCATTTACTTTGGTGTATTGCAAAAATGTGCGAATGTCTGTGTGGCTGGTGTGTGTATAAAAAATTGTTTACTAACATTTCTTGTTTACGTTTTAGCATTTATAAATTGTACAATAATGAACTTTCATCGAATGATAAGGGATTCGTGATTCGTGTATCGACTGTCGATCGAAATGGAATCTCTTGTTGATATCGCAAATGAGAACAGCGACCAAAATAACAGGGATGCAAACCGTTTATGATTTTATTTTATCATTTTTATAAGGCAAGTGGTTCGGTCTTGAATTTTAAAAATAAAATATTTAAGATATTATTAGAGAGTAGAATTACGGTTAACCAATTTTTTAAATAACGGAATTCAGATGAAAAAGTTAGTTGCTCAAGAATTATATAAGAATGTTATTTTTAAACTGTTAGATTTCAAAAATATCCAAAAATTTCAAGATCTCCCTAATTTTTAGACCGAAAAATGCTACGTTAACCCATTAAACCGAACCATGTCTGCAAATTCCGAACCCATCCCAATTTTCCCCCGGCTTGCATCCCTGATGTAAGTTAGCCAGGCACATGTTGGATCTCCGAGTGGACTGCCACGCCCAGTGTCAGACGTCCTTGGGCGGCTGGGCGGCGGACGAGGAGGCCGAGGAGCTCTTCTGCTGCTGCCTCCTCTCCCGCCAGCGATCGATGGGCGTGTAGCAGCAACGGAAGAAGGGAGGAGCCCTCGTCGAGGAGGAGCTGCTCCCGCTGCAGTTGCTCATCTTGGCCAGCGACTCGACGGTGAGCTCCGTCTGCACCCCACTGGTGGTCAGCCGGGTCTCCGCCTGGTACTCGAATTGATACCGCGGCGGCGGATGAACCGGATGACCAAGGTGACCTGGATGACCAGAATGACTGGAGGTCAGAGGAGGAGGTGGTGCCCCCGCCTTGCAGATGACACTGGGCGGCTCCATCTCGTGCAGCTCGAAGCTGTTCGAGCTGCTGTTGGTCGAGGGCCGGAACTCGTGGGAGCTGCTCTCGACCATGGCAGTGCGGTATGTGGCGGCAAAGTAGTTTGTCTCCAGGTAGTGGCAGGACTCGAACAGGTAGTCGTCGAACTGGTGCTGCGGCAGGACCAGCGAACTGTCGCCTGAGGAGGCGAACCGCGGCCCCAGCCGGTGCGACTGCGTGGATGGGGAGGCCGGCGGTGCCGGCGAGGGTGGCGGCATCATGGTCGCCAACGAACTGGACGCCATCGGCGGCCGCTGACCTCTTTGCTTCATATCAACAATTTCTATTTCTTCTATATCACTAAAACTATTCAACTGTTTCAACAAATAATGCACATCATTTCGTTTCGTTTGATTATCCTCGTCGTGGTGGGGATGATCATCGTCGTCTTGATCGTCGTCGTGGGTTTGCCCCGGATCCATTTGCTCCTCCGTCGCCGTTGCTGGAGTTTTGGGTGCTTGAAGTGTTAATGGGGTGCTGGCAACGGCGCCCGTTCCACGATCCAATCTGGGGTTCCCCTGGAGGCTGCTGATCTGCTTGGTCGCATCATGTTGCAGCTGCAACTGCTGATGGTGTTGCAGATGTTGTTGCTGCTGCTGTTGCAGATGTTGCTGCTGTTGCTGCTGCTGTTGGCTCACCAACTCCGGATAGGCCAGATTGAAGCGCTGCTGCAATGTGGCACTGCTCAACTTGGGCAATCCGGAGTACTCTAGGGCCACTGGTGGCCGCTCCAAGGTGGAGTCAATGATGCGATTGAATTTAGCTAATGCACTGCTCGCTGCTGATGAACTGGATGTTGTGGTGGTGACCTTAGCATTAAGTTGTTCATTGTTAAGAGGCACTGTTGTGACGGTTTCTAGGTCTAGGTCTAGGTCTAGGTCCTCGTCCTCGTCGACATCCTCGTCCACATCATCGATGTCGACGCCATCGCGCAACGTTTCCTGCACATTCAGATTGAGATTGAGGTGCAGCTGCTGGCGAAGCAGCAGGCGGCCGGTCTTCGTCTCCATGCCGGGTATATTGGGCGGTGCCAACGCATCCTGTTGACCACCACCCAATCCGCCCCGACCGGCGGCAATCACCGCCGCCGCCCGCTGCTGGGCCAGATTCGCCTTAGCCAAGTTCTTCTGCAGTATCAGCCGCCTCGACGAAATGATGGCATTATTGTCGCTCCCCCGCGATTACCGGCTGTCGCGGGTGGAGCGAGGCCGCCCCTAACTGGACGTGCTGGCGATCGGCGAGACGGGGGACAGCGGGCTGCGGGCCTGTTCGCGCGGACATCCGGTCAGCGTGATCACCAGCTTCCGGGACCCGGCCTGGTCGCGGTGCTCGCACAGCCAAACGCCCTGCCACGTGCCCAGCGACAGCTTGCCATCGGTGATCGGGATTGTCAGGGAGCTGCCCAGGAAGCAGGCCTTCACGTGCGCGGGCTGAAAAGAAAAGGAAAAGCATTGGTAAGCGGGTTTTCCGATAGACACAGTATAGGATCATGTATACATAGTATAGCTCTGCCCAAACTAGCAGTTGTAAAATCCAAAAATTTTAAAGCCCTTACAAAGCATGCATACAGAAGTTTTTAAATCACTTTTAAATGTCGTCTTAGGTGCCTAAAAGTATGCAGTGAACAAAGGATAGTGTGTTTCCGAATGACTTCATTGTAATACTGAGATTAAAATATATTGTTGCATACTTTTAGACACCTGAATTACATTTATAAGTATTTTCGAATTATGGGATTAAAATTTTACTCTAGTAAAAAAAATCTAATTTATAAATTATAATGTGCTTCTGGGGAAATGATTTCAACATAAAGGATTACTGCTCTGATCGAAACTTACTGAAAAGGTTTGTAAGCAACACTATAATGGAACCCATACTCACCATATCATCGGGTCCCTCGCACGAATGCCTATAGGGCAATCCTTCGGGAACTATTTTATTCAACATCATCTCCATGTCGTCTCTGAAATGGTGATCGTTCAGATAGGATACATTGTTTATACGTCCATGTACTCACCTGACGTCTGGATCCCAGCTTTCGTTTAACGCTAAACTCGCCGATGTGTGAAGAACTGAAAGCAAAACAAGCGCACACACAATGCCAATTAGTTGTCTATGGGATTAATAATAATAATCTTTATAATGAATAGCCCCCCGGTTATTAGACCATCACGTCGAGGCGTTGGCTCCTTAGCTCTATGCATTTTCAATTGAGTTGTAACGCCAATTAGTCAAAATGTATTGCCGCAGGCCCACACCCGTCGTGTTTTGGTATGATGCTGCTCTGATAACATATCATGAATCCATCATGAGTTATATGACAAGACGTGTTATGATATGGCCAATTTAACAGAGGAGGATTTTTCAATCAGCTCAAGCGGAAAAGCCAATGTATTTGGAACGATAATACAATGTGGGGAATGAACAAAAGTGAGTCTTCAGCTTTTAATTGGCCGTTAAGCTTAAAACATCTTGTAAAATAGTGTTAAGTGGGAGGGCTTTTAATTGTTTGCATATTTCATGTTTAGTTGCAAAGGCTTCAGTATACCCACACAGAAAAAATATACTTATCTTCATCAAAATTGATGAATTGTGTATATCTTTTTTGAAATTTTGAAGTACATTTTCATTTAGAATAACTCAACATAAATATCTTTCACTGTCTTTTAGAATTATTTTTTCATATTCCTTAAAGTAGACTTTGTTATGGATTTAATCAGAGTGGACACCAATATTAGGAACATTAAATATTTAATTATTTTTTAGAAAATAATCACATGTGGATAACAACCATCAATGCTAAGCCTTAAAAAATTATATCATGACACAGAAGCATCAAGTTTGAAACTCCGAAACAGATTTGTTTTGCAATTTCGAATGCAATTGTTTAACAAATTTATGATATGACCCGACACAAAACAAAACACGAGCATGTTCGGAGTTGAAAATTTAACAATAATTGCCTGCATTTTTGGCGGCTCGCAATTGGCCAACTGCCAAAGCTGAAAATGTCAAGCGATGCAATGAAAGCCGACTCGAAATTGAATATTTTACTTAAAATGAATTTTGTTTCAATAATAGATAGGTTTTCCTATATACAAATAGCCGGGTAACACGAGAAACACTTGAATTTGCACACTAATTGCGTATTCATGAATAAAAGAGAAAGCTGCTGGCAGTTTGAGAAGCCGAGCGAAAATTAGTTTATTATCAAATCCCAGAGATGTAATTTTCCGGGCCCCGAGCAGAGACTTAAAATGTGGATATATGTATGTGGGGATATAGAGCACACATGTCCGAGTTCCGATTTTGGGGGGTAAACGCGCTGGGAAACGCACAACAACCCAGACCCACTTTCTTTCTAAATAATTTCCGAGGCGATTATGTCATGTTGAACATGTGTAAATGGCATCAGGAATTTAAATATCATCCATGGACAAATCCGGGGAGTGGGGACTTTCGGTCAGTGCAAATGAAAATGAAACCAAAGTGACATTTGATGCGGGGTGGGACAGAGCAAATTTGCAAATTGATTGCAGGATGGGATTTGATTGGGAATGGGAGTGGAAATGGGACGAGGACAAGGACGATGATGAGAAACTGACTCACTAGGTTGACCTAAAACTTGGTCTATATCGATGGTACATCTCATATAACGCTCCTTTTCCATAGACGAAAATGATCGCAAGGGATGTCAAAGAACTTTATTTTAATCGAAAATCTCTCTCTAGCCAGTGTACTCGTGTAAGTTGTTTAAAGTCGTTGTATTGTTTTTAATCTTTACAACTTTCTCAAAACTTTAAATCCCGGGTAACGATAGTATTTCATCTATTTTATATATTTTATAATTTATTAAAACTTTCTCAAAACTTTATATCCCGGGTAACGATAGTATTTCATTTTTTTTATATATTTTATAATTTATTATGGATGCTATTTTTGTGTTATAAATCATTATATTATGTGTTAAAAAAGAGAGAGTTTTGTATGTAATGCAATAGATGGTTAAAATATGATGGCATTAAAGAAAACTGAAGATAGAGGTTGGCTACGTTTTAAGAAATGCTCGTTTAACTGAACATTTGAACCTAACCTTTATTTGAATTTTCGAATTAGTAAGATATTGTAGTATATAGCTGCGATTTTTCTTAAAGTGTAAGGAACAACGCCATTTTAAATATGTTAATGGCCTAAACATAATTGTGTGTGTCAGCCATGCAATGCGGATTTTGAGTGGCATTTGGAGTTGTCCCTGTGTCTGTCACCGCGCCTCAAGCCCTCTACTTTTTTTTTCTTTGCCCGCATTCCGTGCACATTTATTCCGTGTCCCCAACTTTTTACCCCGCTCAGCCCCAACAGGCGCATCCGCCTGGAATACTCGACTGACACTTTTTCCATTGCACCAAACACAAATGGAACGCGGGCAGGAGGCGTTAAAAGGCTCCTCCAGAGCGTTAAGCCGGTGGCCGGGCGTAGGATGGCTCTAATATGATTTAGCCATGGGCTTTGTGGTCGTCAACAGGGCCAAGAGAATGTGGCTTCCAGGGGGCTCTATATTTGCCAACGGCAGCCATTGCCAACGTGCCCAGAGCGCTAATAAACGCTTGTGCGCTGCAAGAATTATATGTCTTATATGATGGCTACGAAAAAAATCCATTTACATACTCAAAGGATTTTTAAAAATGTTAATGCTAATTTTTTTAAATTTAATTGTGCTTTACTGGATGATTTATGTCTCAGGAAAACACACACAAGATCTTTAGGTCTTCACTTTTTCAAAAACCATTTTTCAAATTTTCTCTCAGTGTAGTACGCATAGTTAAGTAGCAGGTGGTATCGTTTTGACCGGCTGTTTAGATGCTTAGTTGCCTGTGTGTGTGAGCGGTGGGTTGGGTGGCTTTCGGTGGGTGGGGTGGTGCACATGTAGCAGGCGTTTAGGCACTACAAAAGTTGCTAATGTTTTTAAAGAGGCCTTTTTATTATACAAAGTCAAACATTCTGACAGCACAAACAGGCTGGGAGCACACACAACTGCATATATATGTATATATATACGACCGCAACGAACGGAGGAGTACCCAGTGTTTAACAATGGACTCAACTTGACTCAGCTCAGCTGGCTGTGCCCATTCATATATTCATGCAAACACGCACTCAGACTCTGATACACCCACACAGCAGCGGTCAACGTCCTGGTTCCCAAAGATCAACAAGAAAATCCTGGATGAGTACTAGGTATGGGATACCTTATAAATTGGGTTATTGCAAACTTCATAGTTTCACTCATACTGTGGAAAATGATTATCTTAGATTTGTTAATTTTTAAATTTTGAAGAACCGCTTTAGACATTTCCCAGTTTTATTACTAATTTTATGAAAACAAAACTTCATAGAAATATTTTTTTCAAAGGTATTTAGTATATAGTATAACATTTAACATAATTTAAAAAAATATGTAGAATATTTCGATGATCCCATTTTATTCACCACCGCTGTATTCCTCCAAATAGCACGTGAGTTTGCGGTAGGTGAGTGTGGTGTTCGGGTATTACATAATGTAAGACTCAAGGAAATGCTTAAATTCATCAACCTTCTTATTACATAGCCGTTGAGTTTTATGCTTATCCCGAGACCCCAGGCCTAAAACACCGAACACCGTGAGAAATCTTTGGTTTTGCATGCCATCCTCTTTTTGTGTCAGGTGCTGGAGAACCGGAACAAAACGACATAAAACTAGTTCAAGCACATACCGATACGATTGGAAAATCGGAAAAGCGGGCCAAAGGACGGGTAGAAAAACCTTTGGCGTGCCCGTTTTGCATAAATAATATTGATTTATTGGGTAGCGCAGCATTTTGCGGTTCATAAGCGGGCAATTTTAATACTAAAGGAGCCAAAATGTAGGAATAAAGGAATAAGAATAAAGAAATAAGCGGAAGCCCAAAAGTATGACACACACATGGCACGATTTGTTTTCCTTTTCCATTTTTTTCATTTTCCTCGTTTTGTTTTTTCCTCTTTCGCAGTTTCCCTGTCGTCACGAAAGCGAAAAGAGAAATGGCCAAGTACGCCCACACAAAAATATATCCCTAATGTTAGAAAGGCTCCGAAAAACTCCCTACTCCATAGAAAACTCCCCCTGCAAAAAAAACCACCCACAATTGGTTTCGCTTTTGCTGGCTGTTGATTTATTTGGTGTTGCTCCTCCACAAAGGACACTCCGGCAGAGTCCTTTCTTGTGCTGTACTCTTGCAGCTCTTTCGGTTTGGCTGGAAAATATGCTCGGGTTATAAATTGAAGTTGAGCCATTTATATGATCTTGCGATTATGCAGCAAATTGCTGTCGAGGGTGAAACTCCCACCACCAAAATTCGCAAACCTCGCGGCTCCACGAAGTCGGGCATGTTATCCTTGAACAGATCCTGGGGCATCTTAAGTTTCACGATTTAATGAAGTGCGATTTAGTAAATTCAAAGAGTAAAGCGTAATATACGGTTTTATGAAAAGGTTCTTAAAGTTCGACAAGTTTTTCACGATTTAATGAAGTGCGATTTAGTAAATCCTAAGAGTATAACATAATATACGGTTTAATGAAAAGGTTCTTAGGGTTCGACAAGTCTTCCTGTTTTGTAAGCTATTTAAAAAATATTTAGGGATACCAGGAATTTTAAAGGTTTTACTTAAGAGGAATTTTAAAAGTGTCTGATCTCTAGGTTTTTAAAACCTCCTCAAATACCCCCATAACTCAGGTTAATCCGTATCCAGACCACCCGATTTCTATCAACTTTGACTTCCTTCGAATCTAACCTTTAAATGTGGGATTAAGCCAAGGCCCAAACAAATCATCAACTGCCCCCCAGGCAATTAGCTTTGCTCAACACATATATAAATACATATATATACTGCCGTGGTGATTCCGAGGTCCCATTTATATTGGGGTTACGGAAACCCCAATGGGGCATTGTGTGGTCAGTAGGGTTCGGTTCTATAAGCGGACGACCTTCCTGCCACACATATGAATATTAATAAAAAAAAAAGAAGAAAGGAACCAAGTTATAGAGGGGAAATATTTGCCTGGCTCAGGTGGAAAAGTCGGAACCCGGTGGATATATCATTTTTTAGCATTTCCCTGCATTCCATTACTTTTTGTTGTGTTTAACAAGTTACCTTTACATTTGGCTTATATTTTTGTGTATTTGTGATTTGTGTGTCCTCTTGGCCACATTTCCCCCCCTCCGCGTCGTTGTTTGTGCCTTTCCCCATAGAAACAAAAGGAGGTGGGGCGGCTGAAAAAGGGGGGCTATTGAGGTCAATAGTAAAAGACAACAACATATGGCAAGGTTGCTTTGAAATTATTTTTCCTTTTTTTTTTCTCTCGAAATTAACTTTTTTGTTGCTTCTCCTTTTGGCAGAAAAGATGGAGAAGGGGCGAGGAGAATTGCCTTTCATTTGGTTGCATTTATTTACCATTTCTTTTTTTTTGCATTAAAAGGGGGCAAGGAGGGGCTTGGGCTTCCCTTAGTAAAGTGTGTCTAATTAGGAAGTCCTTTTAAGAAAATCAATAAACATGTCTTGACCTCAATTAGATTCCGCTTACAGTTCACAAAACAATACACGTACAGTGAGCACCCCAGACAACAAACACGCACACAACACGGGTGGCGAAAAGGGGGGTCGGCAGAGGCTAGGGGCAGGGACACACGTGCTTTTGATTTGGCAAAAAATAAAAATGGAGAGAGCAAGAGCAAGCGAGAACGGAGGTTCGTAAAGACTTGCCTGCAATGTGCTGGCTAAGGCGATTTGAGATACACAGAAAAAAACTGGGGAGCGGTATAGGAACAACACGAAAAAACATTATCTTCTTTAAAAAATAGTTAATCCACTGATTAGCGCAATGGCATTATAGTCATCATATAAAACATATCATGTTTTTCATTTCAAACAGAATGTTGCAAGTTAAATGTTTGGCTAAAAATGAACAAAACTCAACAGAGACTTAAAAAACTTTAGAAAGAACCAATTGTATAATTTAGTTTTATACAACACCACCTTAAAAGATTATAAATGTTGCATTGAAATACTTTAAATAAAACTTTGATGTTTTTTTCAAATCTATTGTATAACAGAGTTCTATAAAACATCACCGAAAATTATAATAAATGATGTATTTTTTAAATATTAAGAACTTAAAAACAAATGATGTGATACAGGAAAAAAAACCCTGTATGTTATATACACTATATATATAAAGTGGGGACACCAAAGCCACCTTAACTCTTTAAAATTCAAGAAGCAACCTTTTTTTCTTCGCTGGGGCATGGCAAAGGGGGGGCTGGCATGGAAGTAGAAAATACCAGAGAGGGGGTTGCCTCGAGCATTCACACGCCATAGCCACAGACCATGACATGCAGACATGAGCGACGACTGCGACTAAGACGACGATTGCTTTTCACTTTAGTCAGGCCAACTCCTGGCTAAAACCCCCATCCCCCCTCCCCCCTCCTTTGGCGCTTTATGATACGATTTTATTTATTTGCCCTGGCCAGAGCGGGATGGGTAGAGAGAAGCGGAGTGAGGGAGACAGGAAGCCGCAGGATGGAGAAACGCGTCCTGGCATTGTAATGCGAACTGTCAACAAGAAGCTGCCTCCAAGGCAGCCAACTACGGAGGTTGTTTCTCTGTTTGCACTGCCTTCTCATCGTCTTAGTTCTATACCCGCGTACACTGAGAAAAATGCAGTTAAATAGAGTTCACACCATCTTAAATATAATACTCAAAATTGGAAGATCCTCAAACCATGCAGCAATGTTGGCATTCTAGATTAAAGTTCTTGGCATTCAAAGATATACCTTCAGCATATCTTAAGAAATACGATAGGTTTTCATTGCTACATTTCAAATTTTTAAATTTTGGATTCTACAAAAGATGTATTCTAAACGTTCTATATTGTCTTTTTATAGATGTATGTTTTGTCAATAAAAAATTTTTATTAATTGTTTTTTCAAGTACATAATGACTGCAAAACAATATTTTGATCAGTGTATATACTGTCAGAGATCTTTAAAAGCGGGGATTCCACACAAGAATTAGTGTGCGAGGTGCAGCCGTGGCAGCGCAGAAAAAGAAATACTTTGCAGAACTGCAATCCGAAGATTATTGCGAATGCATTCCGAGGATGGGAATATAAAACATGAACAGAGTCTCAAATCGCTTGGCGTCTGATGTGTGTGGACATGCTGTCAAGCCACATATTGCACTTAAGGTCCTAAGCTTAAAAAGCAGTCGACTTTTGGACATTAGATAAATGATTAAACATTTAATTTACTTTACTATAAATCGTTTACTTTTTAATAAATATGGCGTTACAAAAATAGAAGAACCTTAAATAACATGATATAAATATGTAACTGTTGAAAAAATCGCATTAAAATTGTTCAATAGGTCACATCTCAAGCAGATTAGAACACATTCTTTTGGCAGAACCTCTTCTTCATGTGGGTCATCGTCACACAAAAGTCGGACTATATTCGAATGTCAATCGCAATTTTCGGGGCTAAAACGAAAGGCACAAAGAAGTGACCGGGCCAAGTCAGCCTGTTTATCTGTGCAGTTTAACCCAGTTGGTGGCTAATACAAATGAGCAGGGCCAGCGGCCCCTTCAAATCCTGCAAATCCTGTAAGTTTCAGCTGCTCCTCGGCTGAGTTCAACAACTATTTGTGCTGATTTGGTATGCAAGTTCTACATTTCGCTGTTTGTCCAACTGAACTTTCAACTAAATGCAAACGCCTTGGCCATTGCGAGATTCCCCTCGAGAAATACAATCCGGATAAAGAAAATGTATTGTCATGAAACTTTCCCATTGCCAGAGTCAGAATACCCTTATGGATGGCTTTTCCTGATAGATTTAAGTACTATACTCGCAACCAACTCTGCTGCTTAGTTGGAAAAGGCTTTTCGAAGTGTATGAATCGACAGGGAATGGAATAAGATGGATGCGATGGAAATGAGGTGGTGGCTGCCAAAATAGAAGAGGGATTTTCCAGCTGCTAACCACGATTAACTGACATTTGAGCCCTGAATTTGGGATAATCACTTAGAAAGGCAGCCGAAAAGGTGCCGAAGAAGTACTAAATGGATAAATAGCTGACCCCACCCTTGGAAGTATTGTAACTGATATTATTTTGGAAGGTTATCTTCTTAAACACAAAAGCTGTTTTTGGACTTTTGGTATTGGGGCTAGACTTAAAAAAATTTGTAAATAAAACATTGTGGCGTGGTACTTGTAGAGAATGGACCAGTTTTATGAAGTTATTTTCCGTTTACCACAATATTGAAGGTACTATATATAGGTTTACAAAAAACAATTGATAGGATATTATATGATAAAATTTTGTATGAATTATTTTCTTCTATTATTTTATAATTTTAGTCGCTATATTGCTTTCTTGTATAAGAAAACCAAAAAAAAACTATTCATGGCTGGTACTTTAAATTCCTTAAAAGGCTAAGGAAACTATTACTTTTATAAAATATGGTCTATAAGACTTCTGAAATTGAATTCCATATAATATTTCAATTGAGTTAAAGTGAATTTGAATAGAATAATGGAGAAATACAATCCCTACTTACTTTGCATGTGGCATAATCCCACCGAGAAGTGCGCCAGCTCCGGCATCTGTCGGAGGATCTCCTCGGTGACCAGGTGGACGCCGCGGTGCTGCGGCCTCAGGTTGATCTTGCGCTGAAACCAGGCGGAACCGATCTGCAGGCCGACGATCGCATTGCCATCCGCTCCAGCGCCGGCGACGGCACCGCCACCGCCTCGTCCGCCGCCACCCCGGTGATTGGCCGAGGCCATGGTGCTGTTGGAGCTGCTGCTCCGGATGTTGCTGTTCCGGCTGACGCTCTGCTTGACCCCGCCTCCGCCACCACCTCCGCCGCCACCGCCTCCTCCTCCGCCGGCGCTGCCAGCTCCACCGCTGCCGCTGGTCGCTTTCGTTGTGCCGGCGTGTGGATTACTGCTGCTACTGCGACGTCGCTGGCCGCTCCGTCCGCCGCTCCTTTGGTGGCCTGGAGCTGTTCCTGAGCCCGCTCCCGGTCCTGATCCCGATCCTGCAGCGGCAGCAGCAGCAGCAGCGGCGGCGGCGGCGGCGGCAGACGACGTCGATGGTTTTGTGGACGACGTTGTGGCTTCTCCGGTATCCGGACGACGCACTCACACGCACACTTGGCACACTCGATGCACACTCAACACACACTGGCAGGATTCAAGGACTCAAGGACTCGAGGACGAGCTCTCGACTCCCACAAGTTGTTGACTTTTGCACTGGTTTCACTCCGAATTGGCTTTCACTTTTGGCCTTTCGAACCTCTTCACCGATTTAATTTATTCTATGTTATTGCCACTTGTTTACGCTATCAGCAACTGCAAAACAGAAGAGAGATAAGAAAAAGTCGGTTAGTAATGGAAAACTAACATATAAATAAATTTAGAGTTATAGATACAATACTAAACAGCACACTTGTATTTTTTACGCTCTTTAAAAAACATTGCAAGACCATTTTATCATAATATAATCTTTTTTTTTTAATTTTTCCTTACAAAAAGCCAATTTCAAGCCTTTAGAAAATTAAAAACATTAACTAGTCAAAAAATAATGTAAATGTTTTAGGTTGTTTCCTCCATTTTTCATATTTTTCGGAGATATTTAGTACTTTTTAGCAAGTGCTCTTATAGTTGGGCTGCTAGAAATGAGAAAACCAAACAAGTAGGCAAACAATCAGGGTGTAATAAGATTCTAAATGAAAATGGTTTACTGTCCAGTAAGTTACAAGTACGATCTTTCTCCTAAGCAACCATTTATGGTTCCACAAATGCTGACTTATTGACATAAATCAAATATAAGTGTTTGGGCGTTTGGTTTTCAGTTATTAGTCGCTATGGGGAGTACTGAGAGCCAAGAGTACGAGTATTGGGAGCGCCCACAATCAACAAGTTTTTAATTGCCAAGCGCAAATAGCAAACAAGATTGTTATGGTTATCAATGTGCCAGAGGTGACCCCTTAAAACATTTGTTTGGGTATGGGTATGGGCTTTATAAATGGCTTAATTTGGTTGGCAGTTACCAAAACATAAAATTAGTATATAATTTCACAAGGTATATTATATAAAGAGTACACTGCGTATGAGTGATTTTCCATACATGGCGGATGAGTGACTACAAATTTAATTAAACATACAAAAGTTTTTAGAGTGAACATTTATACTTGGGAGCTTAAGAAATATTTAATTATGTGATACAAAATTAAATGAAACGTTAACCGATTAGAATTGATAATACTAAAGTAATTATTCGTGTTAAGCTGGGTTCAAGACAATATAATTAAACATGTTGAAACTAAATTATTAATAAAATCAGAAACCAAAAATAAATATAATTTTTTATTTTTATTTTTTACTGTGACTTTAACTTACTTAAATATAACATAAAAAAATGTTTACTCTACTCCATAAAGGGTGTATGAATTAGTAAATTGGAAAGCACATAAAACTCTATATAAAAAAAAGGAAAATTGGTGTGAAAGGTCTTACAAAATTAAAATCACAAATAAAGAATATTTTTTATTTTTTATTTAAATAAAAACAAATAATAAAATGTATAAAAAGTTGCATTTAGAACGAACTTTAAGAAAAAAAAACAACAAAATACTAAAAAGTATGTGCTATGCTGATGATGTTTTTCATGACCTATGTCACCTTCATATACATTTATTCTTTTAAAATGCAAATTCCAAATTTCGGTACATACTAATCTACCTAAAATTATAAATATGTATGTACATTTTACAATCTTAAATCCGCTCGTACACATCCCTTATACTTTGAACTACACTCGCAGCTTCAAGGGAACTCCGCTGAAGGAGTCACACGGCAGCGAACAGTCGAAAAGTGGAATAAAATTTGAAGCGGCATAATGAGCACGTGTCGCCCAAGTGGGCCAAAAGGGGGCGGGCGAGGGGAGGCTGGGCGGTACGGGGGGTGACAAGGACATGGGATTGTTGGCCCGGGAAAGCGTTCGTGCGAAATGGTAACAGCAGCTAGGAAAAGGCACGAGACATCCATTGGATTGCAGACACATGGCATCAAGGAAAACGCTGTTTAAGAATCCCTCTTCTTCCCTTACACACAAACACACACACACACACGCAGTTCCCAAGTTGAGTGCACTCACATAACGAAGCAATCGAAATGCATTTGAACCCGGGAAAAGCGGGGGAAAAGCGGTGGGAAAATGGGAACATGGAGATGGAAGCCACAGCTGCTGCAAAGGAAAAACCACGATGAGTGTGAGTGATTTCGGGTGTCGGTATTTGGGTAAGCAGTAAAACACTAAAAAAAAGTGGAGAAGAAAAAAGAAAAGGCCCAGGCTCACAGACCCCAAAAAAGAGGTAACCCACACCACAGACAACGATTTACACGACACTAAAGGCGGTTGGGAAACGGGGAAAAGCTGCCAAATAGAGATGAGCTTCTGGGCCAAGCTAAGGTGTTACTATATCTGGATTAGGCAGTCTTTCACCTCCACTCATTATTTTCCATTTACAAATCTGTTGTGCGCTTGTAATAGTTTTAGGAATGAAAATACATAGGACTCAATGATGGAAAGCCCCATAAGATACATTTTGTACAAATATTATAACTTTTTCCTTTACTACTAAAACTATTAAGTTAGTACAACCTATTTATTTGATACCTTTTTAGAAACGTGTACTTATTTTATTTAAATAATATCAATGAAAAAACCGGAAAGTTAGGATTTAATATCTGTTCTATTGAAAGTTTACCAGAGACAGTACTAAAATTAAAGTATAGATCAAAGAATTAAAAAAGAAAGAAGATTATATTATTATTTTCTTTACTAGTTTATATTTCTGTGCATCAGATTAACATTTATAACGTCTTTAAGCTCAGGTTATTAATAAAATAATAAAATTCATTTTTTTTTATTTTTTTTTTTTGGGATACTCAAATTGTTTAAGATAATGTGTAAAACGAGTGAGCTCACATCTCTGGCAAACTGAACTGAGGAACCGAAGGTGTGTCATCAGGGGCGGGGGTAAAGCAACAACTACAACAACAACACCTACCATAACAACTACAAAAACAACCCCGGCAAGAACAACCTCAGTGAGAAGCGCGTTGAGGCCGCGGCCAGGTAAAGGTACTTTATTCCTTTTACGGGGCCACTGTTCAAATTTGCATATGCTTTAAATATTTAATGTAATTCAAAAAGAGGAGACAACAGCGCCAACAAGAATCTGGCAATTGGACAAAGCCCGGCTCGGGCATAATCCAATTGGACTGGCAAACACACCGCGCTCCCCAAACAAAAAAATTCAAGCCGAACAAACAAAAAAACACATGAAATGCTCGCGCATTTGGCAAAAAATCAATTTTCCATGTGATTGCCAAATGCAACATTTTTTTGGGGGAAAAGTAACGCTGGGAAAGCTAAGAAAGTTTCCCATTTAATCCACACCTCAACGCATTTTTTGCTTTACTTTTTTTGTTCAGCTAATTATTGACATAACAAATGTGGTGGAGCTTCCACCATGCTTTTTTCTACACAAACACACGCACACACACAATGAATATATTCCGATGACAGCACACGCGAAATTTGCCAAAAAACATGAAAAGAACACCCAAGAAATCAGGGGGAACTGGAGAATTTTGGCACTTTTGGCTGCCCGGAAAATTGAGAATCGAATCACGTAAGCATAAAACTTAAATGCACTTAATTACATTTAATTTGCCGAGCCTGCTGCGTTGCCTTTTGTTTTATTTTACGACTGATTTCAGACCGCATCGAGTGACTTGTGGGGAGAGTAACCTTTATAGAGCCGCCGACTTCTGACGTCGAGCACACGGCGCTGTCACTTTGGTTCGACGTCGAGTTGGCACTGAACATCTGATTGGATCCCGGGGTGGATCCCGAGGTGAAATGTGCGAGGCAACGGCACTAGTTTGGGGTCCCCGTAAACCACGCTTGCGGCAGAAGAGCACAGACATAGGGCCCCGAGTCCGAAATTCACCTTCGCGCGCTTTTTAAATATTTGATGGTATTTATTTTAAGCTAAAGTGATTTAGGGGTATTTTTAGTCATGATAAAAAAAACTTTACAGACGTTTTTATACTCGGGTATATTCATATTCAATATATTTTTGCCCCTCTATTAATAATAATATTATTAATAAAAAAATAATTTACTTTTAAGCTCTTAAACAACAAACACAACAAATTTCGAAATTATATTTTTAAGCAAAATGTTTATTGTCTCTCTGTTTCTATATTTTTAATATATCCCTATTATTTGAATAATTTTAATGCAATAGTTTTAAAAATAAGCAGTGCTTCTTAACATTTTAATTCTAATATTTACAAGTTCTACGTTGGCTTTATTAAATTTTATTTGTATATGTTTTTAAGACATGCACAAAGGAATTCATTCATTTGAAAGTTTTTTTTGTTATAACATACTATAAAAATATTTTATTGAAATAAAATGTTCATCCAATCACGCTTTTGTCACTGTTTTTCATGTGAATGGCGTGACGTCACGACGCGCCCGTTAGTTTGACGTCAACCAATACACATACACATTGCCAATTCGTATGCACCAACACAAGTGGAGTTTGTATTCACGTTTTTCAATCAAACTTCATTCCAACTGCCTCTTTTAGTTCGACGCTCCTCTCCAAAAAATCAAAGCTAGAGAGAAAACTTCCCAATTTGGGCGCGGATTCAAATCTTCTAACTGACAGAATTTATAAAATTTTAAACAAAATATTGATACTAAATAATTATTTAGGTGTACAAGTGCCAGTAAAGTACGGCAAGCCGAAGTTTATATACAAACACTGGCAGCCAAAATCATATCATGCAGTTAAAATTATTTTACACGAACAGAAAAATCCGTAGACATATGTATGTATATATGTATTTTAATTTATTTTTTTAGTTAGTTCTTAAGTTAAAAAAATTAATGCGTATTGAAAAATAAACTTGTGTCTGTTTTTATATTATTCTAGCAATTTTGTTTATGTTATAGTAAACAAATTTAAAATGTAGTTTTAAACGATTTGAAACAGATCACATTTGAACTTTCTAATTATATTTGGGAAATTCATATGCAGTTAATTAAAAAACTGGGACACTAGTTTGCGTAGAAACGGACGGACAGACAGGCGGACATGGCAAGATCGATTGGTCTAGTGACACGGAACAAACTTTTAATGCAAAACATTGATTTCAACTCAAAATAAACAAAGGAGATATGAATGCCTTCGAAGATTTATGTATAACCTACTCCCTCATTGTTTTTAATATAAATTTAATGCTGCCAAAACAACATTTTTGGATATAGCAATGAACTATTTAAAATACAATCCACACAAAATTACACTTCACCAAAAGGTAAATGACTCAACAAAACACCAAACTTGTATTACAACCCCAAAATGACAGTCGTGACCATTTCGAACTCAGTTTTAGAATTTGTTTAATCTCACTGCGCAGGAATAAAGTTCATATGTTAAATAAATAGAGAGCTACGATTTTAAGATTTAACATTATTACTTTTAGGTACCTTTATTATTAACGATTTACTGTTATTTATAAAGGTAATACTTTAAATTATAATAAGGACAATCAATTTCAAAATAAATAATTTTGTTTAATAGATACCGTTTTTAAATTTGTGGGGTTTTATTTCAGCTAGAAGCATTTTGTTTAAACATGAGGATAAACCTTAAATCATTAAAGCTTTCAGTATACTATTTAGTTATTCCAAATAATAGAGCTGTTTTATTTTAAGGCAATAATTTTGGCCCCCTACTCTTTGTAGTGATCATGATTTTGATTTGCAGATTAGAAAATATTTTCAAGCCCTGTCCGAAAGAATGACACTAATATAAACTTACAATAATATTAATGAATTTAAACAAGAAATTAAGAAATATTAAATCTAGCCAACAAACTAATTATTGTAAATTTTCTTAATTATGTATTAATAGCAATCGGATCTATCGTTAATATGAGCAATTTTTTGAAGAAAAAGTTTGTAAAACTAATATAATATAATAATAAAATGTATCCATAATTTATTTAGCAAAACTAAAACCCAACCATCAAAAATCTTTAAATTTTGGTATTATTTACCAAAACAATGGTTACCATTATGTTCAAAATCATTATACTAGGCCATTTTACATTTTTAATTATCTTTTTAAAATCAATTAAAGTAAATTGTAGGCACATATAGTATGAAAATACTTAATATTAATAGGATAAAAGGATGCAATAAAACTATAACCTATCGAAACTATCGTAGACTTTTCGATAAATCTTTAATCTGTATAAAATAGGAAATAAAATTGTTTTTAAACAAAAAATCTATCCGAATTTTATGTGTTTAAGCGTCTCAAATACGAAAACTGATGTTCTTGCTACACTATATCAGTACTCAGTTGGCTGGCCAATCGAATATCGATTATTTGGCGGCGATAGGCGTGCAACGTTTGGCGGTCAAAACAAAAGCGCTCGAGTGTGCAAACTATTTACACTGGTTTCTGGTTGGTTTTATGTTTGGCGTGTGTGTGGCTCGAACAAACGAAAAGCGGTGCTTACTTTGCTGATTTGGTGATTATTATTGATTTGTGGATTATATGCGTCTAATTGCAGTGGCGCTTGCAGGTGCTGGAGATCTGAGTCTGATATCTGGGGGATTCACAGCGTGGGTGGGCGCGTAGTATGCTGGTAAAAGTGCTGATGCTGCTGCTGCTGCCCGGGAATATTGCTATTGCCAACGCCGGAATCGACGGAATCGCCGGAGTCGGAGTCGGATGCGGAAGCGGTGACGAAGACGGAATCGGTATTGGAATCGGTTATGGAACTGGAGCCGGAGTCGAGATCTCTGGGCATTTTGGGGCCTACGTTTTTGCCTTACTCTTGTGGCAAACGAAATGGCAACAAAAACAAGAACTACGAATCGGCTCTAAATATAACGTCTGTCGTTATACTCGTTACTCGTTTTTTATGTGGCCAATTCACAGAATGTACATTTTTTACACCTTTCACACACACCCACGCACTTTACGCTCACGCTCGCACATTTTAGACCGATTTTTCGCACACAGCGTTTTGTTTTTGTCACCGTAGATGATTTTCTTTTCTTTTATATACCCGACTATATAAAGGTGCATATATATAAATATATAGATATATATTAATATATATATATATATATATATGTATATAGGTTAGTTGGGGCTTTTACTCGGCCCTCTTTGATTTTCGCTCAACAGATTTGTGATTGGGAATTTTTTCAGCTGCACGACGTTACCAAATGGGTGACTCCCATTCGGAGCCACATGGGCACAGTTTTTGCATTGGGCATTTTTTTTCACAGCTACACAGCTACTCCTTCTGAAGGGGCGTGTCGGAGTTTTCGGGGGTTACGGGCCAATTCTTATGGCCTTTTCGCCTAGTCTCTGCCTCGTTTTTCAATAAAACTTCATGGCCCTATTACATATGTACTCCGCACACTCTCACACACACAAACAGGCCCGAGCCCGATTCAATTCAATTCGATCCGATTTCGATTCGATCCGAGGACAATACTATAGCGAGGATAATACTATATGCTCCCAGACGTTTGCATTATCTCCCATTCGATTTCGATTTTCCCCCTAGTTTTCCTCTGCTTGGGTTGGCTGCCTTCTGCTTTTTTTCAGCAACTACTTTCTAGATTTTCTCTGCATGCCTTTTCTGCGACGAGCGCCACCGATGTGCCACCGAACGAGAGCCTGAACTGAAACTGATTCGGGATAGCACATATTTTGTTGAATGAGTAGGTGAATGAGTGCTGCCCCACTCGTTTGGGTAACGCTGATGGGTCCTGCGCATGCCCCAAAACCAGCGAGTGCCCTTTGGGGCTCCATTGTGAACGGTTCAGGGACTGCCATCTGCAATTTCGTCCTGCCAGATGGCGCCACCATTCGATAGACCCAAAACAGTTTTAAAAATACCGAAAATTACAAATACGAATGTTTCAAAATTTAAAATATCTAGTTTGTACAAATTAAAGATACCACAGATATAAATAAGAAATATAATTATACCTTCTCCTCAAATGATAATTTTTGATAAGACGATAAAAATGTAATTTTATTAATGTTCGAATTTTTCGATATGGCTAGGCAATCTTTTCAGCTTCTCCCCTCATTTCGAAGCACAAAGCTGTTGGTCGACGATTTTTATTTTCGTCGAATGCTTCAAAGGTGAACACGGTTTACAGTAAGGCGATCAGTGCGCGGAAAATCCCATTTTGTGGTGATATTCCCCGACACGTGAATGCCGTCCTCATCCTGATCGAAAACCATATTATCCATGTTGAAGGCGTCGTAGACTCCAATGGACCCTGGTGGACCATCCGTGCAGGACGAATAGATGTCCGGGTCCTCAAACAGCAGTCGGTAATCGGCTGCCTGAATAATGGTTCCACTTATACCAAGAATTAATAATATTGCAAGCATTTTTGTCTGCCAACCGATCGTTGAACCGACCTTATATAGCAAATTGGAGTGGGCGGTAATATCATAGATAATTGCGGGTAACGTAAGCTTTACACCAAATAAGATCTTCATCTAATACTATTAACGCGACAAAAGTATATATAATTAAAATTAAAATGATTTATTATATAAATTAAAACAAACGTAAAATTTCATTTTGTATTGAAATTTTTTGACTCGTAGTTAATTTTTTGGAAGAAGTACTAGGCCTAAACAAAAACTTAGACAATATATATAATAAAAATTAAAATGACTTATTATATAAATTAAAACAAACGTTAAATTTCATTTTGTATTGAAATTTTTTGACTCGTAGTTAATTTTTTAGAAGAAGTATTAGGCCTAAACAAAAACTTAGACACAAGATTGGGTTACGAAAAACATCCATTTTCATAGTTTAAGAATAATACGTTCGGTATTTTTCGTTTATCCAAAGTTCTAGCTTCCACTGATTCGGGGTCAAATCATGAAAAATGTTTTAAAATTGGGAACGCCGTTCCTTATAACTGTTTTGTTAAGTAAAACCAAATTTCCGATGGTCCATAATCAAATGGTTTGAATGGTGGTAAAATTTTCTTACAGCTTACAGATGTCTTATGGATAGATGGACAAGATTGAATTTCAGAGAAAAAGCTTTATAATATACCAAACCAGAATTATAGAAGACTAAAAGATCGACTCGGCTAGTGATCCTGATCAAAAATATATTTATTCTTTAAGGTCGGAAACCCTTCATACTACCTGCTACATACTTTCCGAAGAATCTAATATACCCTTTTACTCTACGAGTAACGGGTGTAAAAATCATCCAGCATCTGGTCTATGTAGCTACGGCACTACGACCAAAAGCATCCTCTTGTCATACAAAATGAAGAAACGCGCCTTGGTTAGGGACCCATCTTGTTGATGGCTTTAAATATTATTATTGTTATTATTATTAAAAAATAGGATTTTAAAATACTTAATATGTACAGTAGTGTAGTGAAATCATTTGAAGTTTTTGTTGTTATTTTATCTTTTCAGCATCTCCTCTAATTTCGAAACACAAGGATGGTGTTTGGCGTTTGTTATTTTCGTCGAACGCTTCAAAGGTGTACACAACTTTATAGCGTCCACGAATATTGGGAATGAGTATGTTTTGAATGCGCATACTCATAAGGAACGGTTTAAATACCCAAACGGTCTGAAAAAAGAATCGTTATAGAGCTTCAAAGTTGCACGACCATGACAATAACTATACTCACGCCTTTCGTAGTTATGCACTGTTCTTGAAGCTCCTCACGGTTAACGATGTTTCCAAACCAATATTTAAACCAGAACAGATTCTCATCGAACATCACAGCACAAAAGTCCGGTGAATGATGGTTGATAATTGTCGGTTCCCAAGTGCCTCGGTCGTAGTGCATTATATGGAACCTGGCCTAAAAGGGCAAAACGTTTAAGTGTTCAGTCGCTTTTAATTCAGGAGTAGTAGAATACTGAAAGGCGATCCGAGCGTGGAAAATCCCATTTGGTTGTGATATTCCCCGAAATGTGAATGCCTTCCTCGTCCTGATCGAATACCATGTCATCCATGTTAAAGGCGTCGTAAACTCCTATGGACCCATGTGGACCATCTGTACATGACGAGTAGATGTCTGGGTCCTCAAACACCAGTCGGTACTCTGCTGCCTGAACACTAGCTCCACTTATACTTAGAATCAATAATATTGCAAGCATTTTTGTCGAGCAACCGATCGTTGATTCGGCCTTATATAGCGAGTTGCTGTGGACGAAAAAACCTTAGATAATTGCGGGTTAGAGTTGGCGTTACACCTTCTATATTCCTGGATACAATCGCATATCCTCTCAGCACGAACGGCGATCATCGTTTTTTTAATATTGTTTGTAGATAAATAATCAAAAACTAAATAAAACACATTATCTTAATTGGAATGTTTACCTTGTCAGGCTTTTTCTATAAATGAGGTACGTATTTATTTATTGTACACTGTTGGCAAAAGTTTAAAAGTTAAGGTACAGGGGGGAATCGGCCATAGTTGCTAAGACTTTCGGAGGAACATATTATCATCTGTATTCTGATATTCTGTATTCTGTATTCTCATATATAAACCACGTTATTTTCAATTTTCATAACATTTGTTTAAAAATATTGGTAGATAGGACACTTGCTTACCGTCCACTTTTGTAATTGCATGCACATAGTTCCGTACGCCAGCCCCTAAATGTCACAGTCATTAGGCCATATTCCGGCGCCGCGAAATCCCGCCCAGACCTTAGCAGTTACCATCTTAGTGAGAAGCGAAAGTAACCGAACCGATTGGGTGTGACCAGCAGGTGGCCATGCCTCGTCTAACTAACCATATGCATGTTGTCCTTTGTTGGGGGAGGTCTCCCTTGCTCCTCCTGTGTCCCCGATCCTTTCGGTATGTAAAGTGAGTGGGTCTTTATCCTGAGGCACGCGGCGCCGCACCCAGTTTCTTGGATTCGAGTCGAGTTTGTTGTCATTTTCGCATTCATATTCGCTATGGACGAATCAGGAGCGGATTTTTTAAAAAGCGGGTCAGACATTAACATCCAGTTTTTAATTTTTTAAACATATAGTATACAAAAAGCGGACCAATTTAAATATTTAGAAACGTATTTGAGTGCTTCCTCTTCTTAAAAAATATAATTTAAATGAAATTAAATGTCAAATTTCATGGTACGGACCCATTTAAATATTTAGAAACATATTTGAGGGCTTCCTCTTCTTGAAAAATATAATTTAAATGAAATGAAATCTCAAATTTCATGGTACTGAATAGTTTTTAATTAAATATTTTTTAACAATTTTCAAAAATTTAACTTTTTAGGGAACTTGTTTTGTGTTTGAGAAACAATTTTTGCAAAATGTTTAAAAAATATAAGAAATATGTTTATGCCAATGATCTAAGTAAAATTAGGATCCTTCTGGAAACTAAATCCTTCCCTGGTTTTAGTAAAATATCTATCATTGCCTTTTCACGCTCCAGGCTTCATTTATCCAAGGGGATGGCTCTTTTGTTTGTTATTTTACAAGTTAGCCATTTTGCCGCCACACGGCTACACCTCCCCATATTATTTTTTTTAGAGGGAGTGTGTAGCCGCGCCTCCCTTACCAAGTTATTCAGTGGGCCAGGCCAGTTCGGACCAGTTCCTGGGGCAGCAGTCGGAACTGAATTGGCAAGACGGCCGGACGTGTTTCGGGAGCAACTCCACACACGGTTCCAGCACATGGTAGAGCTCATAAATCAGCCGGAAAATGGATGATAATACAGAATTCTTGAACGAAATGTGGCTGGAAAGTGTGGTCATAGGGAGCTTTCGAGTGTGGCACATTATAGCCGCCGTTCTAGGCGTTTTCTTGTTAATTAGTGAGTAGATAGGGATACTGTATGGGACCCAATCTAATTGAACTAATCGTGCAGTGATTATGGTTTGCTGCTGTATACGCTTCCGGATCCCACGCACCAAACAGGAAATCGAGGCGGACTACCAGCGCAAACAGATCACAAAGAAGTTTCGCGAGAAGCTGCAGCAGATCAAGAACTCCGAAATGGACGACATGGACCTGCAGAAGGGTGAGCAAATTGATCCAACATCTCATTACCACCGTACCCACATATATGCATACACACCGTCGCCGCGTAGAGGTCCTGTGTACCAACTGTCCCAGTTTCGTTGTCACCCTAATGCGAGCCAAGCCCTTTTCCTGTCTGGTGCTCCTCCTTCCCATCCAGCCCATCCATTCTCCCACCGCACGAACTCACGCATTTGTATATACCAAATGATAAACGACTCCTCCAGCTGGCTCCTCTTGTTGCACGCTAGTTAATGCCACACTGTGGAAAAGGTGTTTTCTAAAGTCAGGAATGAAGTTCGCGAATTAAAATATATTACTTTTAGGACCTTTTTCCCGACTGCATGTTAAGGAAATTTGTAGTTTATAACCTAACCTTAGTTTAACATGCGGAGGAGAAAGCGGACTTTAGGGAGGTTATAGAATCGGAAAGCTGGAATATATTTTTAAATGCTTAATTCTTAAAAATTTTTTAAATCCCTGATTCAAAACCAAAATGATTTCTAGCGGAAAACGTTTATATATTTCAATATTTACTACATTCGTTCAATTCCGAATTTCTATCTACCAGAATGTTCTTCAATCAATATTTATGAACGGGCTTGAGTTGTATCTTTTAACAAATGTTATAGGAATAGGTAATGGTTTAATTAATAATTTCAATATGAAATTTTATATGATAATCAGAATTTGTAGTAACTCTACATTTACTAGTGAGCTTTTAGGTGCCCACTTTCTAATTATATCAAAGCCTTCTTGAACTTGCAATGATTTTCCCAGTGTTTAGCCTATTACTCACTCTCTCTATCCATCTCGCCCTGCCGCTTCTCTATCATAGCACTTGCTTATATCAAATTGGAACAGTACGATGATCCCTAAACTAAAGGCTCTGTAAATTCACCCGCACTCTGTACAAGCTATCGGAAGTACTTAAGCAGCAAACCCTCTATCGCAAAAAACACTACCACTGTAAGTAGCACAAGCCACAAAGTATCAGTTAAATGGTGCCCTTAGTTTTAACTTAGTTTATCAATTAACTACTACTTTCAGTTTGTGCCCGCATCCAGAGCGACTATCTGAATTTCCAGGCCAGCGTGGAGAGCATGAATGAGAAGCAGAATGTTAAATTTAAGATCTAAGTGCCTGTTATAGTATTGTGCATCCTTAAGCGAAATGTTAGAAACCTAATGCCTTATAGTATGAAATTATAAGTTAATAAACTAGAAAAAGCATCATATTCATCTAATGAAAAGCTAGAGAGTAAAAGATGTGCTTGTATATTTTATATTGCAATTTGATTTTCTCGTTTTTATTAATTCCGATTGATGTATCAAAGGTTTGTTAATATTTGCAGTACGTTTTTAAATGCGTTTTCTACACATATAGGCTAATTGCGGGGATGAATCCTCCATTGCGACTATATAACAAGTTGGTGGCATCCCTTAGTCGTGTTGCTCGTTTTGACATGGTAGATTTAGTTCTCATGTTTCACTTAAGTTTAGGGTTTATTAGTTTAAAATGCGGTTCTGCTGTGACGCTGACTCGGCTAATGACTGTAACAAATTGGCGGAGACACGGACTTTGACGATGACTCGACACAAAACACACACAATTAATTTATTAACGCGTAACTATTAATTCTTTGTTCATTATTTTGCTGAGCTTACATTTAGCCTTAAGGTTCTGTTTTGGAATACTTTGTTTTGTTATCTTGTTTAGTTGATGCTGAATTTTCCATTGCTTGGCCAAAATTATGTTCGGATTTCGCATTTAAATACAAAATTTATTTTTTTTTATATTTATATAAAAACAACTAAATATACTGCACACATCATTCCATGCGTTTGAAAGTTCTCCCCCTGCAAGCAAAAAAAGAGTAAGTATTGAAGGCAGTTTTATGGAAAATGCAAAACTCACGTTATAGTTTTCTTCTCCGTGTTTTTCGGCTCGGGCCTTGCACGATTTAGCACCTTGAGGAAATCCGAGGTTTTTGCACGCATGCGCGAATGAATGTAGGCCTTTGAACACTGTTTTAAAATAGTATGTTAAATGATATGATAAACATAGAACTTCAGAAAACTCTCACCTTAATGTGGTAGTGCAAATAATCTCGGAACATGTGAATAAGGTTAATGGTATTGTCCCTTGTTTCTTTGTTGGTATGTCGAGGGAAAAGTACTGCAAAAAATAAAAAAACATAAAGTATTATTAAAATGCTATGAACAAGTTCGGTATTTCGATAGCTATGAGGCTTTTGTACACGAACACAAGTCGTCTGCTGTAATATAAATTATTACTCAGGATGCCGTTCGTCTTTCTAGTTTCTTTTGGAGCACTTGAGACAAACATTTTAAAAAGTCCAAAATATGCCACTTTCACTCCTAATCGCCGTATGCAATATCAAACTATTGTACACAAACACAAGTCATCTGCTATAATATGATGATTATTCAGGATGCCGTTCGTATATCGAGTTAATATTGGAGCATTTGAGACACAGATCAAATGTTTAGTTTAAAATATGCCACTTTCACTCCCTGAAGTATTATTTTGATATATTGTGCCCAAAACAAATCATCAAAGACAATAGAAGATTGCCAAGGATAATTTAATCGGAAAAATTAGTCTCGGAGCGTTGTAGACACGAAAAAGATTTTATTTCCCTAAACATGTAAACTTTGTCTCCTAGGGAAAGAGTCTAATACATCTTGGTAATAATTGCAAGGTTTTACTGTACACAAACACAAGTCATCTGCTATAATATGATGATTATTCAGGATGCCGTTTGTCTATCTAGTTTATATTGGAGCATTTGAGACACAAATGAAAAGTAAATTTTTAAACATGCCACTTTGACTCCCTGGGATATATTTCTGCTTAGTTGTGCCCGAAACAAATCATCAAAGACATTTTAGGTTGCCAAAGATAATTTAATCGGAACAATTAGTCTCGGAGCGTTGTAGACACGAAAAATATATTATTGCCCTTAACATGTAAACTTTGTCTCCTCGGGATAGAGTCTAATACGTCTTGGTAATAATTTCAAGGTTTTACTGTACACAAACACAAGTCATCTGCTATAATATGATGATTATTCAGGATGCCGTTCGTATATCGAGTTGATATTGGAGCACTTGAGACACAGATTAAATGTTAAGTTTGAAATATGCCACTTTCACTCCCTGAAATATATTAAGGCAAAATTGTTCCCGAAACAAATCATCAAAGATAATATAAGATTGCCAAGGATGATTTAATCGGAACAACTATTCTCGGAGCATTGTAGACACGAAAATGATTTTATTGTCCTTAACATGTAAACTTTGTCTCCTTGGAAAATAATCTTAAACGCCTAGGTAATAATTTCAAGGTTTTACTGTACACAAACACAAGTCATCTGCTATAATATGATGATTATTCAGGATGCCGTTCGTCTATAGAGTTAATTTTGGAGTATTTGAGACACAAATCAAAAGTAAATTTTAAAAAATGCCACTTTGACTCCCTGGAATACATTTTTGCATAGTTGTGTCCAAAGCAAATCATAAAAGACAATATAAGGTTGCCAAGTATGATTAAATCGGAAAAATTGGTCTCGGAGCGTTGTAGACACGAAAAAGTTTTTATTTCCCTTATCATGTAAACTTTGTCTCCTTGGAAGGTACCTTAAAGTGGTTGGTGATAATTTAAGCGTTTTACTGTACACAAACACAAGTCATCTGCTATAATATGATGATTATTCAGGATGCCGTTCGTATATCGAGATGATATTGGAGTATTTGAGACACAAATCAAAAGTAAATTTTAAAATATGCCACTTTGACTCCAAAGGAAAATCTACTGTATAATTATTGTTCACGAATGTATTTATCTTAAGACATATAATAGAATGTCCAAGATGATTTTAACGATACAGTTGATATGGGAGCATTGTAGACACGAAAAAGTCAAAACCCCTTTAACATGTAAACTTTGGCTCCAGATTAACTGTAGAAATTGTTCTTAGTTGTGAGAAACTTGCATAAATTGTACCATTTCCTGTTCAATATACATCTTTGACATACATAACTTAAATAAAATATTGATCAAACCTACCGAATGTGACATAGCCAATATTGTCGCCCACCCTGGCGTCAGTGTTGGCCAATTCCAGTGGCGGTTCGCGGTGCGAGAAGAGCACTTGCGGCGCTGTATGCGAGGCACGTCGTCCTTCCCTCAATTCCTGCATGAACACTTTGCCGATAATGACGTCGTCCTCGTCCCGGAAAATGGTGCTAAAGACGACGGTGACACGATCGGGCTTGGCCTCCACATACCTGCGAAACGGACAGAGATAATAAGAACACTCTCCATCACTGCACTCATTTTTCTGGCTTACAAAGTCTCATCGTTGCGGTAGTTAATTACGGCACGCTTTTGGCCCTCTTCACCCTGCTCCTGGTAGTCAAAATACTTTTCGAAAACCGAGGCGAAACAGTTGCGCTTCAGCAGTCCAATTCTCTTTGCGATTTGCTCGCAGTCCTCGGGAATCTCCTCCAGATTAATAAGTACAGAAACATTGTAGCCTGCAATATGCAGAGAGTAATTAACTTTAAAAGCCCAAGTTTAGCCGTGGTTGCATGAACACACCTTCTTCCGTGTCTGTAAGCAGACTGCCATATTCACGCTTCAGTAACTCGTCGGCTCCATGCTCTTGCAGCTGTTTGTAGAACTTCAGCGATATGCTGATCTGTTTTCCGATACCAGAAAAGTAAGAAATCAGTAAGGGTATTGTTTGCAATGAACATTTTAGTGAAAACATACCCGAACTTTTGTTTTATCGCCATTCACATTGGAAATGTGATAGAGCACGCCGTCAAAGTCTGCTATTCGTATATCTATCGATTCTGGCTTCAATCTGGAAAAACAATTGAAAAGTAAACGTATGAGATCGATTGCTTATTAGTCATGCTCCCACAGTCCACCGTATCTTATCTGAAAAACCCGATTACAGTTGAATATCTTTTAATTAGAAGCCACAAACAAAGACTCAAACAATGTTTTCAAAAACTTTATTAGTTCTATGAATATATGGACATATGTGTTTGCGAACCAATTTTTCCGTCTTATTTCTATTCAATTAAGCGGATTTCAGTTCGCCTTTTATTTATAATTATACTTTCGGGAGAAACTCACACACAAAGTAGAAACAATTCTAAATTATGCCATAATATAGCTCCCAATAAACCAGTTGAATGCATTTTTACTATAATGGAATATTTGAGAAAATATGATAATATCCAAGATGATTATAGATACGGAAAGTAAGAGAAACTTAAGCGTGTAAACTTGTTCTAAATTTTTTGGATATTGTAGACAAACACAAGTCATCTGTTTTAATATAAGTAATTAAACAGGATGCCGTTCGACTTTCTAGTTAATATTGGAGCATTTGAGACACAGATAAAAAAAATATTTTGAAATGTGCCACTTTGACTCCAAAACCGAATTAGTATCAACATGTAAACGAGTGTATTTTTCTTTGAAAATATGATAATATCCAAGATGATTTAAACGTTACACTTAATATCGGAGCATTGTAGACACGAAAAATAAAAGGAACTTTAGCATGTAAACTTTTTCTCCATTTAACCTTTTAATACTTTAATGCCTATTGTACACGAACACAAGTCATCTGCTTTAATATAAGTAACTAAACAGGATGCCGTTCGTCTTTCTAGTTAATATTGGAGCATTTGAGACACAGATCAAAAATTGTTTAAAATGTGCCACTTTGACTCCAATGCGAATTAATGAATTAATATCAACATGTTAACGAATGTATTTATCTGTGAAAATATGATAATATCCAAGATGATTTATGCGTTACACTTAATATCGGAGCATTGTAGACACGGAAAATAAAAGGATCTTTAACGTGTAAACTTTTTCTCCATCTAATCTAATCTATTAATCTATTAATCTTCAATTGTACACGAACACAAGTCATCTGTTTTAATATCTGAAATTAAACAGGATGCCGTTCGTCTATCTAGCTACTATTGGAGGATTGGAGACACAGATCAAAGGTATTCATATTTGAAAATATGCCACTTTTACTCCACAAAAAGCTCAGTGGGCAGTTGTGCATGAGACAAACCATCTTTGGCAATATAATAGATTGACCATGATGATTCACACATACAGTTAATTTTGGAGCATTGTAGACACGAAAAATAATAGATATGATCTTTAACATGTAAACTTTGTCTCCCGAGAAAGTATTCCTTGATCTAACTTTGATAG